AGTGCCCATTTGGGATGCTGGTGCTGCAGTAGAGGATTAATAGCACCAGCCCAAGTTTGGGTTATTTTAAGGATGTGATGGAAGTGAGTACGGTTTTTCCTGGAAATTCAGGGAAGAATTCTAGGTAAGTTTGCATCTACCACAGCATTCCAGACTCTTCCTTGAACACCAAACCCTTATTGCTTTGATTTGCATTCTAGGAGATAACACATGGGAAATCCTGCACTCTCACAGAAAGTGTTTCCAATGTCTCGGTGTGACTTAGAGGCTATGTCTTCAAGGCGACACTTAGGAGAGAGAATAGGACACAGGCTAGCTGAGTTATGAAATATCAGCATGGGAGTCTGGAGGTGAGGCATGGGTGGGGAACCCACCAGAGAATGGAGAATAGAAAAGAGGGGCTATATACTACAGATAAAATAGTAACTTGTGTTGTCTTTAAGACTATGCCAAGTCTCCCTGACTGTGCAGGTGCGCCATCATAACTGGGGAAATTTCTCTGACCCTTTTTTCCCCAGGACCTGCACTGGAAGCTACTGCTGTATGCTTCCATGGCTCCTGCATTGATTTATCTACGGCTGTGGTGACAAGGTACTACAACTGTGTTCATCTGTTTCTGTCTTACACCTACCTGAGGTTCCCAGAAGGAAAGAGCTATGCATGGCTCACTGATCACATTGTCTGTGTCCCACCTTTGCTCAACAAACTGAGCCTTTGTCCCATCCTTTCTTCCTTCTTTTCTTTTTTTTTTTTTAAGATTTATTTATTTTTATTGGAAAGTATATACAGAGAGGAGGAGACACAGAGAGGAAGATCTTCCATCTGATGGTTCACTCCCCAAGTGACCACAACAGCCGGTGCTGCACTGATCTGAAGCCAGGAGCCAGGAACCTCCTCCAGGTCTCCCATGAGGGTGCAGGATCCCAAGGCTTTGGGCTGTCCTTGACTGCTTTCCCAGGCCACAAGCAGGGAGCTGGATGGGAAGTGGAGCAGCCGGGATTAGACCCGGAGCTCATATGGGATCCTGGCGAGTTCAAGGTAAGGACTTTAGCTGCTAGGCCATGGCGCCGGGCCCTGTTCCATCCTCTTTCAACCATAATTGTGCACAGGCTTAATCCTGACTTCCTCTCTGTTGGTGAGTACATCTAACAATGCTTATAGCATTACCAGGACCCCAAGCTGGCCATTCAGCTACTGTCCAGCCAAACAAGAATTCCTGTTCCAAATGAGAGCAGAGACCACAGAGCACGTTTTTGTCTCTCTTTTTAACCTACTACCCTCCCCCACTTTTTTCTTTTTTTCTTTCTTTTTTTTTTTTTTTTTGTCAAAGATACATTTATTTGGAAGAAATACCTTTTCTTTCCCCCTAGCAAAGCAAGCTAGGGGTTTAGTCTAACTGCTCTGTTGTATCACACTTTAAAAAAAGATTTATTTATTATTTTCATTGCAAAGTCAGATATACAGAGAGAAAGATCTTCCATCCAATGAATCACTCCCCAAGTGACTGCAATGGCCGGTGCTGTGCCAATCTGAAGTCAGGAACCCAGAGTTTCCTCCAGGTCTTCCACACAGAGGCAAGGTCCCACGGCTTTGGGCCGTCTTAGTCTGCTTTCCAAGGCCACAAGCAGGGAGCCAGATGGGAAGCCTAGCTGCCGGGACTAGAACCGGTGCCCAAATGGGATCCTGGTGTGTGTAAGGTGAGGACTTTAGCTGCTAGGCTACCGTGCTGGGCCCTATTGTATCACATTTTATGGGACACTTGAGTAAGGCTTTAGGAAAGACTGAGATCCAAAGAGCAAATGCTACCTTTCCCACACACTTTATAGAAAGTGGTGAAAATCGAGAATTTGGGGTTGAGTGTTGTAGTGCTACCACTTGGGACACCTGCCACCCATGTTGGAGTGAGTGCTGGCTGGAGACCAGGACCCTCCACTTTTTTTTTTAAGATTTAATTCTTTTTATTGGAAAGGCAGATCAGATTTATGGAGAGAAGAAGAGGCAGAGAGAAAGATCTTCCATCCACTGCTTCACTCCCCAAATGGCCACAAAGGCCTGAGAGGAACTGCTCTGAAGGCAGGAGCCAGGAGCTTCTTCCTGGTTTCCCATGCAGGTTCAGAGTCCCACAGCTTTGGGCCATCCTTGACTGCTTTCCAAGGTCACACGCAGGGAACTAGATGGGAAGTGGAGCAGCCAGGATACAAACTAGTTCCCATATGGGATGCCAGTGCTTGCATGGTGAGGATCTGGCCACTGAGCTATCACACTAAGCCCAATCGTCCACTTTCGATCCTATTTTACCACTAACGGATATAGGACAAAGCAAATGATGGCTCAAATGCTTGAACTCCTGCCACCCACGTGAGTATAGCATGCCGGCTTCTGATTTCAGCCTGGCCCAACCTTGGCTATTCCAGACATCTAGGGGGTAATTCAGCACGCCCCCTCTTCCCCTGTGCCCGTGTCTCTCTCTCTCTGTCTCCTTGCTTTTCAAATAAATAAATCAATCTTTTAAAAAAGAAAGAAAAAACATGAGAAGTTATAAATGTGAACAGGATGTCCTGGGGAGGTAAAAAAAAAGCACTAGGCCAATACAGGAGATCAAGGAGCATGTTTTTATAGAACTAGAACCCAGCTGTTTTGAATTTAAGAGTTGGGCTGGAAACAGCTGGGTAAGAGTGGCTAAAATCCTGGCCCGGCGGTGTGGTCTGGTGGCTAAAGTCCTCGCCTTGAACGCACCGGGATCCCATATGGGCGCTGATTCTAATCCCAGCAGCTCTACTTCTCATCCAGCTCCCTGCTTGTGGCCTGGGAAAGCAGTCAAGGACAGCCCAAAGCCTTGGGACCCTGCACCTGTGTGGGAGACCTGGAAGAAGTTACTGGATCCTGGCTTCGGATTGGCATAGCATCGTCCGTTGCGCTCACTTGGAGAGTGAATCATCAGACAAAAGATCTTTCTGTCTGTCTCTCCTCCTCTCTGTATATCTGACTTTCCAATAAATAAATAAATCTTAAAAAAAAAAAAAGAGTGGCTAAAATCCCTGGAAGCTGAGACCTGGAGCAGGCAGTAGCAACAGTGACCACAGCCTGGCCAAGCATCAGGCTCAAGGCAATTGCTCAAAGACATCACCCTGAGGCCCAGAGAGAATCCCAATGTCCCACATCTCCCATAATCCCTGAAGGCTTTCTGGAGGTACAGGACTTGGAAGTAAAGAGTAACAAAAATTTGCTATGGGGACCTACCTCATCTCCTTCCTCAGTCCCAAGCTCAACTCATGATCTGCCTCTGAACATGCAGAGCCCTAAATCTATCAGCCCCATGGATGGCTTGGGAGGAAGGGGCTAGACAGGTTGACTTCTGAGTGTGAACTTGAATATAGAAGGATAAAGTCCAGAAGCTGTCACTCAGAGGAGAATGACAAGCTGACAACAGAAGAACTGAGAGAGGGTCAGTCCACAGGAGAACCAGCTAAGTGACAGCTGAAGTCTGTTTATGCATAAAAGCCAGTCAACTCTCCTTTCTGAGCAGGTCTGCGTGAGCTGGATTTCCATTCCGTTGCAGTTAGGAATTTTGATGACGCTGAGAAAGAGGGGCTGGTACAGCAAGAACAAAAAGCAAGTTAGGAACCTGACAGGAGCGGATATCTAGTCAGAATTTCCCTTTGAGACCTGCTATCTCCCCTGCCATAACCACACACAGGAGGAATTCCCTGCACCTGGATTTGCTCAAAAGGTTTGCTCCTGTGTCACAACTGAGCCACCTGCTTCTTACTTAGGAAATGAAAATTGAGACTCAGGCTCCAGTGTCAGTCATGGTAGTCTCCCAAAAAGGAAAAGAAGTAAAACTCTGGGAGCTTGGACTGATATTTTAGCAGAGCAGAGGCAGGGTGCCAGCTTAAGTCCTGGCTACTGTGCTTCTGCCCCTGCTTCCTGCTAAGGCACCTGGAAAAGCAGGGGAAGATGGCTCTTCGGTCCCTGCACCCACACGGGGGATCGGTAGTCTTTCTGCCTTCTAGCTTCTGCCTGCTATTTGCATTTGGGGAGTGAACCAACAGATGGAAGATTCTCATTCTTGCTCTTTTTCTTGTCTTTTGAATACTTAAAAGCAAAGCAAAACAGAACTTTGGAAGTTGTGGCGTGTATGTGTATTTCCTAAGTGGGTGGTGCAGAGGAGAAGGCAGGGCAAAATCATCGCCACTTTACAGACAGGAAGCACCGAGGGCTGGAGAGAGTCTGTGCTTGCACATTTGTTATGATTCTACAGAACTAGAATCAAGGTTTGGCTGGGAAACAGTTGGACAGGACATACTCTGTACCCTGGAGAGTTTGGGACTCGCGGCCCACAGTAGGGGTGATTCTAGCTCAGCCAGCCACCTTAGGAGAGTTAGACCTGGTATAGCTACTCCAAGACATCTCCCTACACTACAGACTTCAAGGAAATGCTGGTGTTTAGTAGTGTCTGTTGGGGGTGTACTTTTGGTGTAACAATGAAGGCACAAATTATGACATTTACAACCAATACCTGTGTTCCTGAGTTCATGTCTGGCTCTCTCCCAATTCTACTTTTCTGCTAATGTGAACCTTGGGAGGCAACAGGTGATGATATTTGCCATCTACCTGGAGACTAGACTGGGTTCTGAGTTTATGGCTTTCATCTGGCCACGCTCTGGCTGCTGTAGCCATTTGGGGAGTGAACCTGCAGATGAAATATCTCTTGTGTATCTATTTCTCTCCATCAGGTCAATTAAGAAAAATAAAATCGTAGAACCAGGACACAGAGAATTCAGCGTGCATTAGGGCACCTGGGCAACCATTCTTTTCCCACCCCAGGAACTACAACTCCTAGATAAATGTACCTTGACCGCGTGGTTTTATCCCGGAACAAACTACAAGCCCCAGCATGCCTTGCTAGTGAGGCGCGTGTACGGAGCAGCGAAGGGGTGTGGCCACGTCGGCCGCGCGGGACCGTTAAATTTGAAAGTTGGCGGCTGGGGTTGAGGGCTTGAGGTAGTCGGTTTGGGAGGAAATTGGGTGTGAGTTTTTGTCCCGGAGCACCCTCTGGTCGCGTCGGTAGCTCTAGAGGCAGGTTTCAGAAGGAAGGCAATCGCCGCAGGACGAGGTCCCGAGCCGGGAATGCAGGATGGCGGCGCCGAACAGGGAAGGGGGTGCTCTGAGGTAGGAACGGGAGAGGGCTGCTGGGAGGGGGAGACCGAGGTGCCCGGCAGGTGCCGGAGGCCGCGCTCAGAGAGGCCTGGTCCGGTCGCGCCTAGGAACCCCAGTGGAACGAAGAGCTCGAGTTTGTGGCGTGGTCATGATTTGCTCCGGCTTTTCCAGTTGACTCGGGCCGCGCCTTCTGTGTGGAAAAGGCTGATTTGAAGGCCGCCTATCGGCTTCTGGGAAAGTTCGGAGTGTTTGTAAAGTTCAGTCAGTCGTAGGTGTTGTCAGGCCGATTGCCGCGGGGCTGGAGAGCCCTTCTTGCTGTACATGGTGTTTTTTCTGCCTTAAAAATCCAGTTGGCGATTCTAGGTTGGAATGGCGCCTGGATTTGCTTAGCGTTGTTGGAGCTCGGCGTGAGCTCCATCGCGCAGGTAACATGCTGATGGACCACCTACTAAGGGTCGAGCGCGGCCCACCGAGGCACAGAAAGTCCCCCATTGCTCGGGGAGTCGGATGAGGGTGGATGGGGCCGGCTGTAAAGGAGACACCCCGCAAGGTGATCCGCACTAAACAAAGTGAGGGGTGAGGTCGGGAGTACTGGGTGGGGCTGATGGCATTTTAAGGCCGTTGCTCCGGAGGCCTCCCTGAAGCCCTTGCAAATGTGTCCTTGGGGTCAAGTCTTGAAGGAGACTCAAAGGCTAGTCATTCGTGCAAGCAGGGGGAGAACAAAAGCTGGGGATAAGAGTGCTGGGGGAGGAAGCTAGAGGCTGCAGCTGGCCCTTGTCCCGGAGTGATGAAGGAACCTGGAGAGTAACCAGGACATTTTAAAAAGTAAACATGCAGGCTTAGATGTGATTGCAGTAGGCGACTCTCGAAGGTTTGGAGCCGAGGGAAGTCACGCTCCGACTTGGGTTTGAGTGGAATCACTCTGGCTGCTGTGGTTGAGTAGACAGGCATCTTCTATCTGCTGGTTCACTCCTCAAATGGCCGCGGCGTCCGGAGCTGGACTGATCTGAAGCCGGGAGTCAGAAGCTTCTTCCAGGTCTCTCATAAGGGTCCCGGTCCGAGGCCCTGAGGCGTGCTCTGCTGCTCTCTCAGTCTATAAGCAGGAAGCTGGATGGGAAGTGGGATAGCTGGGCCTGGAATCATCACCCATGTAGGGGCAGGTACCTAGATTTATGGAGATATTTTGAAAGTAAGGCAACAGGGCCCAGGGCCGTAGCCTAAAAGTTAATTTCCTGCTCTTGGATGCTACAGGATCCCATATGAGCACCAGTTCGGATTCCCACCTGCTCCACTTCCTTTCAAGCTTCCTGCTAATGACCTGGAAAAGCAGTCGAGTACGCGCCAAAGCCTTGGGACCCTGCACACTCACAGGAGACCTGGAGGAAGCTCCTGGCTCTGGGCTTTGGATCAGCTCAGCTCTGTCATAACCACTTGGGGAGTGAACCAGCAGATGGAAGATCTTCCTTTCTGTCTCTCCATCTCTCTGTAATCTGACTTTCCAATAAAAAATAAGAAAATAAATAAATAAAACTTTAGAAAGAAAGTGGGCCAGGCGCAGGGGCCTAGCGGCTAAAGTCCTCACCTTGAATGTGCCGGGATCCCATATGGGCACCAGTTCTAATCCCAGTAGCTCCACTTCCCACCCAGCTCCCTGCTTGTGGCCTGGGAAAGCAATCATGGATGGTCCAAAGCCTTGGGACCCTGCACCCTCATGGGAGATCTGGAAGAGGATCTGGGCTCCTGGTTTCGGATTGGCACAGCACCGGCCGTTGCGGTCACTTGGGGAATGAATCATTGGATGGAAGATCTTCCTCTCTGTCTCTCCTCCTCTCTGTATATCCGACTTTCCAATAAAAATAAAATAAAAATTTTTTTAAAGATTTATTTTTTATTATTTTTTTTTATTGGAAAGGCGGATATACAGAGAGGAGAGACAGAGAGGAAGATCTTCCGTCCAATGATTCACTCCCCACGTGACTGCAATGGCCGATGCTATGCCGATCCGAAGCCAGGAGCCTCTTCCGGGTCTCCCATGTGGGTGCAGGGTCCCAAAGCTTTGGGCCATCCTCGACTGCTCTCCCGGGCCACAGGCAGGGAGCTGGAAGGGAAGCGGGGCTGCCGGGATTAGAACCGGCACCCATATGGGATCCTGGGCGTGCAAGGCGAGGACCTTAACCACTTGCGCCACCGTGCCGGGCCCAAAAATAAAATAAATATTAAAAAAAACCCGAAAGCATCTGATTTGCTGACTAAATGACTGTGCAGTGTGAGGAACTATTGAAGTACGTACTAGGATGCTTGGCTTGAGCAACTGGAAGGATAGAATTGCCGTTTGAGGTTGGGAAAGACAGGAGGAACAACTGATCTGCCAAGAGGCAGGAGGAGGTGGGCAGTCCAGCTCACTATTTGAAGAGCAAGAGAAGAAATTCAGGACAATTCAAGAAGCATCTGCTTCTTGCCTATACTAGTGTCATGTCCTGGATCCACTAGTTCACTCCCTAGATGCCAGCAGCAGCCACGACTGGGCCAGGCTGAAGCAGGAGCCAGGAACCCCATCTTGGTGTCCCACGTGGGTACAGAAACCCGTATTCTCAGTCCATCATCTGTAGCAGGAAGCAGGATTGGAAGCTCTGTGTAGCTGGGACTTGAAGCAGGCGCTGCTATAGACATAGGTGTTCCCGGTGGCAGCTTGATTTGCTGCACCACAACACCTGTCTACAGTTATTTTCTGACAGAGCATTTTCAACTTTCACTTGTAGTGAAGTCCCACAGAACTTTCACTGTTTTGAAAAGTTACACCTGTCTTTTAAAAACATTTTATTTATTTTAAAAATTTATTATTTTATGATGCAGTTCCATAGGGTCTGGGATTTCCCTCCCTTTCCCTAAACCCCCTTCCCCAAACCCTCTTCCCTCCCAGCCTGTCTTACTTTTTATCTATCTATTTATAAAAGTTTTATTTTTACTGTCTCTTTTAAAAAACTATTTATTTTGTTATTTAAAAGGCGGAGTTAGAGATGACAAGATGTAAAAATCTTCCATCATCTGGTTCTCTTGACAAATACCTGCCATTGCTATGCATGGGCCAGGAGCTTCTTCCGGGTCTCCAGTGTGGGTGCAGAGGACAAGGCACTCGGCCCATCTTCTGTTACTTTCTCAGCTGCAATAGCAAGGAGCTGGATTAGAAGATCAGCAGCCAGGACTCAAATTGGTGCTCATTTTGGTGTGTCAGTGTTGCAGGCTACCACTTAGTGTGCTATGCCACAGTGTCAATCTCTTCACTTTTCTTTTAAGCCCAGAAACAGTGTCCTTTCAGCAGAGGTGCCTTTTTTGGGGACCATTGCAGAACACACACCCTGTAGTGATGACTGCTCCAGAAAGTTTTGGGGATTTCCTTTGTAGGTGTGACAAAACTTGGAGGGCAGATTTTGACTACTTAAACTCTATTTTTGTGTGCTTCTACCCTGGGCCATATGTTTTCATAGCTTCAACTTTGCAATTGAAATAGGGTGTTAGTCTGACCAACAGTTTGTATATTTTTTAAGGTTTTTTTTTTTTTTTGAAAGGCAAAGTGACAGGGAGAGGGAGATTTTTCTCTTGCTGATTCACTCCTCAAATTGTAGCAATAGCTAGGATGGGGCTAGGGCAGAGCCAGGTGTGCAGCACTGTATCCAGGGCCAAAGTACTTCCATCATTTTCTCAGGTGCCTCAGCAAAGAGCTAGACCAGAATTAGAGCAGCTGGGCTTCAAATGTGTGCTGTAGTACCACATGCTGGCATTGCATGTGTCAGGCCACTGTGCTGTGCTACAACCTGGGCGCCACTTGATTCATTTTTAATTAAACCAGTGATTGGCATAGATTCTTGCTCTTTTGTTTGTCTATTTGCAACTTTTTTTTTTAGGATTTAACTTTTGTTTTTTAATTGGAAAGGCAAATATCAAGATAGGAGAGACAAAGATCTTCTGTCCACTGATTCACTCGGGAATTACATGACAGAAAGGCTCAAAAGGTGGGAAGTAGGCCTGGCACTGCAGCCTAGTGGCCAAAGTCCTTACCTTGCATGCTCCAGGATCCCACATGGGTGCTGGTTCAACTCTTGATGGTCCCGCTTCCCATCCAGCTCCCTGCCTGTGGCCTGGGAAAGCAGTCAAGGACAGCCTAAAGCCTTGGGACCCTGTACCCACATGGGAGACCTGGAGGAGGCTCCTGGCTCCTGGCTTCGGATTGACTCAGCACTGGCTGTTGTGGCCACTGGGGGAGTGAATCATTGGATGGAAGATCTTCCTCTCTCTCCTCTTCTTTGTATATATATGCCTTTCCAATAAAAATAAATAAGTCTTAAAAAATAAAAGTTCGCGAGTATAGTAACTTTACCAATATTCCAGCCTACCATATTGAACCTAAAGGTCATAAATAATAACTTGTCTGAAAGCATTCCCAGTAGCCTAATGCTGTGATAAATATATGTTAGTATGAGATTTGTGAACTTCTGTTTCTTTTCCACAGTGAAGCCATGTCCCTGGAGGGAGACGAATGGGAGCTGAGCAAGGAAAATGTGCAACCCTTACGACAGGGGCGGATCATGTCCACACTGCAGGGAGCCCTGGCGCAGCAGGAGTCTGCCTGTAACACGGCTCTCCAGCAGCAGAAACGGTGTGTAGTGTGCGGTGTGGTTGTTGTTCTCTGCTCATCATCCTGCATCTCCTGGGGTGGTAGAGAACATGCGGCTTGGTTTGATGCTGAGTGGCATCAGAACTCCCTTCCCAAACTGAGGGTGTGAAAATCTGTGCACTACCTGCTTGCTCCTCAGAGGGCAGCTCTGTGAAGGTCCCAGATATGGTTAAGAACTGAGGCTGGAGGGTCAGAGGGGTGGCCAAGTGGGTAGAGGTGCCAACTCTAACGCCAGCATCCCATGTGGGGACTGGTTTAAGTCCGTTAATGTTCCTGGAAAAGGCAGTGGAGAAAGGGCCCAAGTGCTTGGACCCTTGCATCCACGTGGGAGACCAAGATGAAGCTCTGGGCTCCAGCCCAGTCCAGCCTGGCCATTGGTGGTCAATTTTAGAGTCAACCATCAGTTGGAAGATCTTTGTCTCTCTATATAACTCTGCCTTTCAGATAAGAGCAAGGGCTTAAGATTTATTTATTTTTCTTAAATACAGAAGAGCAAGGGCTTTAAGATTTCACATCATGTGAAGTAGCCAGAGTGTTTTATCAACAAATATTGATATAAGAAAATGATAATGGGGACATTAAAAAGTACAGTAAAGCAAGTGTCATACTTTAATGTTACCCAAAAGTGTTAGTCATTCTGGGGGCCTAAACAAGCTTGTCTCTTTTGTAGTGATCAATTAGAGAGAGTATCTCCTTAGATTCTGGGTCCGGAGGGAGAGGAATCCTGCTTTCTTTTATTAACTTAATGTAGGAAAATATTTTTGAAAATGTGGGGGAAAAAGTGATCTCCAAAGATCATATAACTTAAGAACTTGCATTTATACTAGGAAATTTCTCAATTTAAAAAAAATTTATTTTATTTACTTGAGAGACAGAGGGACAGGGAAAGAGAGAGAGGGAGAGATCGCTCTTTCCCTCCTTACATTGCTGCAGTGACCAGGGCTGAGGCCAGGAGCCAAGAACGCCATCCAGGTCTCCCTCATGGGTGGCAGGAACCCAAGTACATGGGCTGTTTCTGCTGTTTTCCCAGGCATGTTGAGGAGCTGGATCCAAAGCAAAGAAGCCTGGACTTGAACCAGCACTCCACTTGGGATGCCAGTACCATAAGCTGTGGCTTAACTTGAACTTGCTGTGACCCAACTCTAGCCTTTTTAGAATGATTAAACAAACTCTTAGTAATAAAGACTGAAAAATGTTCTCAAGTTATTCAGATAGACCTGTGGATGATCTTACTGTTTTCCAGGCTAGCAGTAAGTACTGTGACACTCTTGTGATGCTAGGTAGCAGCAGCTGCAGCGAGCTGCAGGGGGGTGCTGGATCACTGGGTGAACAGCCCTCCACAGTGCAGGCCTGCTAAGGGAAGATGTTCCGTAGTTAGCGTTGAGTGCATTTTCAGCTTAGGAAATTTACCAGAATGTGAACCTATTGTAAGACAGGGGGACCCTCTGTAATCAGATGAATGTTTCATGTAACATATTATGTAATGACTCATAAGTAATCTTCTGTTTTATTTATTTATTTTTTAATTGCAAAGTCAGATATATAGAGAGAGGAGGAGAGACAGGGAGGAAGATCTTCCACCCGGTGATTCATTCCCCAAGTGCCCGCAAAGACCAGTGCTGTGCCGATCCGATCCAAAGCCAGGAGCCAGGAACTTCCTCCAGGTCTCCCACATGGGTGCAGGGTACCAAGGCTTTGGGCTGTCCTCTACTGTTTTCCCAGGCCACAAGCAGAAAGCTGGATGGGAAGCGGGGCCATCAGGATTAGAACTGGTGCCCATATGGGATCCCGGCACATTCAAGGCGAGGACTTTAGCCACTAAGGCCACAGCACAGGGCCCTCTTCTGTTTTAAAATTCTGTATTTTGTTTAATGGTACCAAAACTCAACTGAATTTTTTTTCTCATTATGGTCCTATTCTAATTGTATTAGTTGATCACTAAGGAATAATAGGGTGTTGTTTTGGGGGGGCGGGGTTGTTTTTGTTTTTTAATATATATATAAAATTGATTTTTTTGAAAAGCCAAGTTGTTGGGGTTCAATGAATCCAAGCAAGACTCCAAGATGAGTGGGATGATTTTATTGTCTAGTTCAAGGGGCAACCTGTTGCCACAAGCAAGAAGCACCCCGAATGAAATAATCATGGGTTTTTATAGTAAAAGAATCAATACAGTTCTCTCAGTTTAGCTCTTTATGAATTAAACTGCTGTGGAGCTACTATATAGACTTTGTGGGAACATGGATTTTCTTTCCTCTTGAAATGCAGTATTGGCTGCATAAATGCAGATTGTCGTTTCACTAAAGAGCTTATAACATTTTCCCACTCCTGACAGCAGTTTGTGAGAGTCCATTTTCCCCATAGCCATTCCAAGATTTGGTGTTGTCAATCTTTTTCATTTTAGTCATTCTAGCCAGTATATAGTTGTATCTCCTTATGATTTTTTTTTAAACCTTTCTCTCTTTCATGTGTTTATTGGCCTTTATGGTGTATCTGTTTTAAGTGGGCTTGTAAAAGTTCTATATGCATCATATGTGCTAGCCGTTTGTGAAATATATGCATTGCAAATATTTTTCCCAGTACATGACTGTTTATTTATGTATTTTAATCACTAAGCCTTAACTTTTGGTAAGTCAGTTAATGATTTGTTTTTATGGCTCTTTGCCCACCCAATGTCATGAAGATACTCTTCTGTGTTTTGTTTAAGGATTTATTGGAAAGGCAGATTTACAGAGAAGAGAGCCAGAGAGAGAGAGAGAGAGATGTGCTGGTTCACTCCCCAAATGGCTGCTTCAGCAGGAGCTGAGCCAGTCTGTAGCCAAGAGCCAGGAGCTTCCTCCTGGTTTCCAGATGGGCACAAGGTCCCCAGGCCTCGGGCCATCCTCCACTGCTTTACCAGGCTACAAGCAGAGTGCTGGGTTGAAAAGTAGAGCAGCTGGGACAGGCACCAGCTCCCTTACGGATGTCGGCACTGGAAGCAGATTAGCATGCTCTTGCCATTGTGCCAGCCGCGTTCTGTGTTTTCTTCTAGTCCTTTGTCGTAGTTTTTATGTCCAGGTGTATGGTTCATCTTATATTTGTCCTTATGTGTGGTATGAGTTTGGTGCCAAGTTGTTTTTTACCTTAAGGTTATGTGTTCAGTTGTTTTGCCTCCCCCGTTGGAATTTGGTTCACTTTCATCATTAAATTTCTCCTGAATTCTCATCAAGAATCATCTGATTACACATGTGTAGGTCATTTCTGGACTCTGTTTCATTGAACTAATTGTTTATCCTTTTATCAAAAGCACATTGTGTTCATTAGCTTTATGTAGTAAGTCAAGTAGGATAAATTCTCTAACTTTTGGTCCTTTGTCTTTCCAAACAGGTTTCAAAATCAACCTGTGAGGTTTTAGTTAAAGGGCCTGCTGGGATTGGTTAGATTATATAGAATGTATAGACCAATTTGGAAGATTGCTATTTTTTAAAAAAGATTTCTTTTCTATTTTTGTTGTGAAGGCAAATATACAGAGAAGGAGACACAGAGAGAAAGTTCTTTCATCCACTGATTCACTCCCCAAATGATCACAACGATTGGAGTTGAGCCGATCCAAAGCCAGGAGCCAGGAGCCTCCTCCAGGTCTCCCATGTGGGTCCAGGGTCCCAAGGCTTTGGGCTGTCCTCCACTGCTTTCCTATCCCTGCACATACAAGGCAAAGACTTTAGCCACTAGGCTACATTGCCAGGCCTGGATGGTTGCTAATTTTTGTCAATAATATTGAATTTTTAATTTTTACTCTTTCTGTAGATAATCTTATGCTATATTGTCATGATCAGAGTACTTTCTTTCAAGGCTTTCTTTATTTAATTTTTTAAAAAAGATTTATTATTTATTTGAAAAGTAGATGTATGGAGAGAGGAGAGACACAGCAAGAGATCTTCTATCCAATGGTTTCTCTCTCCAAGTGGCTGCAATGGCCAGAGCTGGGCCTGTCCCGAGCAAGGAGCCAGGAGCTTCCATCTATGACTACAAGGGTCCAAGAAGCTGGGCCATATTTTATATCAAATATAATCCTTATAATATTATTAATAAAGATACAAAATCTTTATTAATCATCAAAATTATGATTCTTTACTTAATACTTTCCATTTTAATTGGCCAGTCTTAGGCTTCTGCTTCTTTTTTTTTTTTTTTTTTTAATTATTTTTACTGGAAAGGCAGATTTACAAAGAGTAGAAGATAGAGAGAGAGATATGTTCCATCTACTATTTTACTCCCAAAGTGGCTGCAACTTCCAGAGCTGAGTTGACCTAACCAGGAGCCAGGAGGTTTTTCTGGATTCCGCTCGTAGGTGCAGAGCCCTGTGGCTTTGGGCTGTCCTCTACTGCTTTCTCAGGCCACAAGCAGGGAGCTGGATGGGAAGTGGAGCAGCCATGACACAAAACTGGTACCCACTTGGGATCCAGTGATTGCAAGGAGAGAATTTAGCCACTAGCCTACTGCGCTGAGCCTGGACCCTGCTCTTTATGGTTATATTTTATACTTTTTTTACATGGATACCAACTTATATACTTTTCTCTAACTAATGTTCCTTGTGGAGTTTTTTTTTAGATTTTATTATGAATATGTGTATAGTTTGTTCAACAGTATTATTTATGAAAGCCATAATTAATATCTATTTACCCTACATTTAAGGCTAACCAACCTAATAAATAATTTTATCATTAAATTTTTTATTATCTATATTACTTATTGTTTATATAAGTGAATAAACTTAAGAGTTTGTAGCTTGACCAGTGTCTTGGAACCAGTGATTAGTGGAGTTGGGTTTCAATGTAGGGAGTCATGTTACAGAGCTTGTAATTGCTGTGTAAGACTGCTGTTCTGTGTATAGCCTTGAAATTTGCTTCTCTAATGTGTAGCTGTTTTGTCCCTCTTGTTTACAGGAAAAATTGTAATAATTTCCTTTTTCTTTCTTCCTAACAAACCCTCCAACTTATATCTAGCTTGATATTAAATACTTAATAAATGAATAAAGGTGAAAGTGACTGTTATCACTATGCGTACACTGATATTTTCTGTTTAAATTTCAGGGCATTTGAATCTGAAATTCGATTTTACTCTGGAAATGACCCTCTGGATGTCTGGGATAGGTGGGTCTTTCTAACTTAACCTTGAGTAATTGGAATTCTAATGGATGAGTCTGGGTGGCTGTCTTCTTCCAGCTGGGATGTATAGCAAGGTGTGTCAGTAGAAAGAGGCATTGTGGGACACAGAGATCTATGTCCTTTTATCCCTATGTCCTTTTTATTTCTTTTTTTCTATATACTGTGGAAAAATGTGAGGGATTTAAACACCTCCATGTTATTACAGATTTCTATTTAAAGAAATCTGGAAAGGTTCTTGGAGCAGGAAGCAAAGTACACCTTCCACCTCAAATATGTTCTGTTTTTCTTCCCATGTAGGTATATTAGCTGGACAGAACAAAACTATCCTCAGGGCGGGAAGGAGAGCAACATGTCAACATTATTGGAAAGGGCTATAGAAGCATTACAGGGAGACAAACGGTATTACAATGATCCTCGATTTCTCAGTCTCTGGCTTAAATTGGTAAGTTTTTTTTTTTGAGATTTATTAAGTTGAAATTAATTTATATGAAACATTAAATAAAATTACTGATAGAGAGGGAGAGACAGAATAAGAGATCTTCTGTTTGCTGGTTCACTCCCCATGTAGCTGCAGCAGCTGAGGCTGGGCCTGGCTAAAGCTAGAAACTTGGAACTCCATCTGGATCTCCCACGTGGGTGGCAGGGACCCTAGCTCTTGGGCTGTCTTCCTCTGCCTTCCCACATGCATTTGAAGGGAGCTGTATTGGAAGCAGAACAAGCAGCTGGGGGTTGCTAAGGTGACATCAAACCACCGTCTCAGTCCCCCATGCTGATGTAGACTGACCACATGGAATGATGCTCCTCTCTTCATCGACTCTTTCCATCTCATCCCACCTCACCCCTGCCCTCCACCATCTCCCGACCCACTCATTGCAATCCAAGGCTTACATGGGTCTGCAACCCCTGCAAAGAAATGGGACTTGGACTGGTGCTCATAAGGGATGCTGACATTGTGGTTGGAGGCTTAACCTCCTGTGGCATGATGCTGTCCTTAAACATGCTGTCCTTGTTTCTTTTTTGTTTTGTTTTGTTTTTTAGTTTTACCTCTCTCTCTTTTTTTAAGATTTTATTTATTTATTTATTTTTCACAAAGTCAGATATACAGAGAGGAGGAGAGACAGAGAGGAAGATGTTCCGTCCGATGATTCACTCCCCAAGTGACCGAAACAGCCAGTGCTGCTGTGCCAATCCGAAGCCAGGAACCTCTTCCAGGTCTCCCATGCGGGTGCAGGGCCCCAAGGCTTTGGACCATCCTTGACTGCTTTCCCAGGCCACAAGCAGGAAGCTGGATGGGAAGTGGGGTTGCCGGGATTAGAACCGGTGACCTGTGCGTTCAAGGCGAGGACTTTAGCTGCTAGGCCCCTGTGTCGGGCCCTTAATTTCTGATCCTGCTTCCTGCTAATCTGCATCTGGGAGGATTGGGTACTGGTCCAGGGGCCCCTGACACTACATGGGAGAACAGGAGGGTATTTCTGACTTTGGTTTGGCTTAGAACTGACTGTTGCACCTGTATGGAAAGTGAACCAGTGGATCACAGATCTCTCTCCCTCTCTTTTTCAGGTAAGTTCACAAACAAAACAAAAATAAAAATTATTTTAGTTTTATAATTTAGGGGTTAACAAAAAAAGATTTCTTTAACTTTTGGATCTGTTAGTCGAACCATTTTGTATTATTTTGTCCTTTCCTTCCCTCATTTCATTTATTTGAGAAGTAGAGAGACACATGGAGTTCTTATCTACTGGCTTACCCCTCAAATGCCTGTGATGAGTGGAACTTGGCCAGACCAAACCTGGGAGCTGGAACTCAATTTGAGTCTATTAGGGTGACCCAAACCAAACTACCTGAGCCATCGCCTGCTACCTATCAGGATAAATATTGTCAGGAAGCTAGAAGCAGAGCCAGGACCAGGTCCAAGACTTCAGCACTTCCATATGGAATACAGACGGCCCAGCAAACATCTTAACCAAACGCCTGTCCCTGGACATTTCGTTTGCTTTCCTCCACAGAACACAGAAGAGAAATTTGCTTAATGCCAATGCTAGTGCCTAATAAATAACAGATTTAATCAGAGGAAGAGACAGAGTGATAGGTCAGATACTGAGTAGGATTTCTGGGCAGATTAAATCTTTCAAATTCTGTAATAGTATGATAGCTTAGTGGCTAAATCCTTGCCTTGCATGCGCTGGGATTCCACATGGGTACTAATTCATATTCTGGATGTTCCACGTCTGTCTAGCTCTCCTGCTTGTGGCCTGAGAAGGCACTAGAGGTTGGCTCAAGGCCTTGGGACCCTGCACCCGTGTGGGGGACCCAGAAGAAGCTTTTGGCTCTTGGCTTTGTACCGGCTCAACTCCAGTCATTGTAGCCACTTGAGAGTGAACCAGTGAATGGAAGATATATCTGCCTTTCCTCCTCTCTGTATTTCTGACTTTCCAGTAGCAAATGTTAAAAATCTTAAAAAAAAATCTATCAAAGTCAACAATACAATCGATAAAACCTTTAGATATAGGAGTATCAATGAACAGTTTTCAGTAACAGTTTTTAGAGTAAGTTCAACTAATCTTGTACCAGTCATGTTAATCAAAAACCAAGCAGGGGCCGGCGCTGTAGCTTAGTAGCTGGTGTTCTTGTCTTGCATGCACCGGGATCCTAGGTGAGCGTCTGTTTGCATCTTGGCAGCCCTGCTTCCCATCCAGCTCCCTGCTTATGTATAGCCTGGGAAAGCAGTAGAGGACAACCCTGCACCTGTGTGGGAGACCTGAAGGAGGCTCTGGGCTCCTGGCTTCAGCTCCAGCTGTTGCAGCTGCTTGGGGAGTGAGTCGTCAGACAAAGGATCTTCCTCTCTGTGTCTCCTCCTTTCCTTATTTAAAACAAACAACAACAAAAAACAAAGCAAGTAGAGCATAATTTCTCTACTCTGTAAGGGTGTGATGAGGTTTGTTTTCTTTATACTTTTTTTTTTAAAAAGATGTATTTATTTTTATTGGAAAATCAGATATAGAGAGAGGAGGAGAGACAGAGAGAAAGATCTTCATCCGATAATTCACTCCCCAAGTGACCACAGTGATCGGTGCTGCACCAATCCGAAGCCAGGAGTCCCTTCCAGGTCTCCCACACGGGTGCAGGGTCCCAAGGCTTTGGTCTGTCCTCAATTGCTTTCCCAGGCCACAAGCAGGGAGCTGGATGGGAAGTGGATCAGCTGGGATTAGAACCAGTGCCCATATGGGATCCCGGTGTGTTCAAGGTAAGGACTTTAGCTGCTAGGCCACCATGCTGGGCCTGAGATTTATTTTTATTGGAAAGGCAGATATGCAGAGAAGAGGAGAGACAGAAAGGAAGATCTTTGTTCCGATGGTTCACTCCCTGAGCAACCAGAACGGCTGGAACTGGATGGGAAGTGGTGCCCAAAGGGGATCCTGGTGAATGCAAGGAAAGGACTTTAGCCACTATGCTACTGTGCTGGGCCTAGCAGCATGGTTTTATTTATAGTTTTATGGGAATAATATGAAATATAAAAAAATGTATGTAGGAATATAAAATAGAATTATTTATAATTAGGCACAATTAGAAGTTATTTAGATTTCCAGAAAGAGGAACAATTACATTATGGCAGCTCTGCTAGAGGAACATAATATATGCATTGAAACTAATAATGGTGGACCCAGCGAGGTAGCCTAGCAGCTAAAGTCGTTGCCTTGCATGCACGAGGGTCTCCTATGGGCATCGGTTCTAATCCTGGCAACCCTGCTTTCCATCCAGCTCTACTTGTGGCCTGGGAAAGCAGCCAGGCATGGTCCAAAGCCTTGAGACTCTGCACCTGCGTGGGAGATCCGGAAGAAGCTGCTGAAAGAAGCTGCTGGTTCCTCCTGGCTTTGAACTGGCGCAGCATCGCTGTTGCAGCCACTTGGGGAGTGAATCAGTGGACAGAGGGTCTTCTCTGTCTCTCCTCCTTTCTGTATATCCGAGTATCCAATAAAAAAAATAAATCTTAAAAGAAGAAAGCAAGCAATAGTGCAAGTATGCAACAGCCTGGGAAAATAATGGTGCAATGTTAAGTTGAGTAAGAACAAATTTTATTATCATCAAAGCATATGAATGTGTACTTTTTTCCTTATGGAAAAGAGACTGGAGAAATATATCAAAATGATTGTTTTGTATAGTTTTTAGTGCGTTTTCCCCCTCTTGCTGCTGAAATTATCTAATTGTTTCTGGTCTTAAAAGGACCCTACAAGAAAAGCAGATTTGACCATTCTGTTGCCTGTAGTGCTGCCGTCCCCTACACATTCATTTACTGCCAGGGGAATTCAGAATTGATTAGTTTGCTGTTCAAGACCTGGCCCAGCGCTTTTCTCCATTCTCCTCTAGTGCCTGGACTCACGTGTATTTTCAGTCTTCCCTGTAATTTTTCTCCTCCGAAGTCAGCCTCACATGTTAGCTCTTAAAGCTTTTCCTCCATATCTCCTTTTGTTTTTACACATAAATCTCTCACTTTTATTTCTTATTTGGGTTCTCTTAGAATAGCACATAATGTATTGTGTAATAACATATATTTCCTTCAGTATGGGAATTACTCCATTGGTTTTTGGCACGTAACTCATGAACAGAAAATGGTTTACCGTTAACACTTTACAATTGTTACAGGGGCACCTATGCAATGAGCCTTTGGATATGTACAGCTATTTACACAGCCAAGAGATTGGCATTTCACTTGCTCAGTTCTACATTTCATGGGCTGAAGAGTATGAAGCGCGAGAAAACTTTAAGAAAGCAGATATGATATTTCAGGAAGGAATTCAGCGCAAGGCTGAGCCCCTTGAAAGACTTCAGTCCCAGCACCGGTAAGTTATTTCTCTGCTGTTTGTCTTATGTCTTTAAAATGGATAAAAAGAAGTAGTCTTTTCTGTCCCTGGATACAGTACTTTTTGGTGAATTGGGAAATGACGTTTATGCCATGCAATTTTTTTAGAAGACGTTTTAAACTTATTTAGTGTACAATAAAATCCAATCTTTTGTAGAGTTCTGTGAATTTTCACAACTGATTAGAGATACATAATTATTGTCATCAAGGTACAGAATCATAGGGTGTGTATTGTAAGACACTGGGTTATACTGTGGCGTAGAACTCCTACATCCTAGGTTGGCACACATGGTACCAGGAGTCCTACTCCTGTTTTAGTCCAACCTCTTGTTAATGTGCACCCTGGGAGTTAGTAGATGATGCATTGAAACCTTGAAACCACCCACGAGAAAATCCTGATTCCTAGCTCCTAGAGTCAGCTTGGCCCAATCTTCGCTGATTTGGACATTTGTAGAGTGAATAAACAATGGAAAAATCTCTCTGTTTTTTGTTGTTGTTGTTGTTGTTGTTGTTGTTGTCGTTCTCTTCCTCTCAATTTCTGTTGCTCTTTCAAATAAATAAAAAGAAACAAAGTAATCTTCAAAAATACAAAGGGCACAGGGCCAGTTCTGTGCTCATTAGTCTAATCCTCTATCCTGTGCTACAGACATCCCATGTGAGTGCCAGTTCATGTCCTGGCTGCTCCTCTTCTGATCCAGTTCCCTGCTTGCGACCAGTCCCTCCACATGGGAGACTGAGAGGAAGGTCCTGACTCCTGGTTTTGGATCAGTCTAGCCCTGGTCTTTGCCTCCATTTGGGGAGTGAACCAATGAATGAAAGAGAACTTTCTCTCTGTATCTCTCTCTCTTAAATGTACTTTCTAAATAAAAATAAACAAACCATTAAAAACAAAGTTTAATTTAAAGAATTTGAGTTTATCAGTTTTTCCTGGTATGGGTTGTACTTCTAATGTTATAGCTGAGAACTATCTTATCTAAAGGGCACAAAGCTTTTCTCTTCAGTATTCTTTTTAAAAACCAGCTGCAAAAAAATTTTTCTATTTACTTTTATTTGAGAGGTAGAGGAAGAGAATCAGTGTTAAAGGCATATACCTTCCTTCCAATAGCCGATTCACTCCCAAAATACCTGCAATAGCTGGGGCTGCAGGCAGGGCAGGAGCTGGTAGGTCACTCCAGGAGGCCTAGACGGGCACCCCCCCGCCACCCCCCGTGCTTGCACATTAGCAGAAGCCTGGAGTTAGAAGGGGAGCCAGGATTCAGCTCTGACCTGAGGGGTGGATGGCCTAAGCAGCATTCCACATTGTGTCAGATGCCTACCACAAAGTTCTTACATGTAGCTCTTCCAGTTCCCTTCTTTCTATGCGTTCTTTAAAATCAGCTTCCTGGGATTTTAATTACTGCATATGAGCCCCATATATTTCTCCATTTATGTAGCTCTTTGATTTCTTTTAGTGAGTTTTGGTAGATTGTGTCTTTGAAAGAATTGGTCTATTTTTTCCAGATTCATTCCGTTTGTTCATCATATCTTTTTATTACTCTTTTATACTTGCAAGGTATGTGGTGATATCCATTCATGATAGTGGTAATTTGAGTCTTTCTTATTTTCTCAGTCTAGGCACAAGTTTACTACTTTTATTGATCATTTCAGAAACTCAGCTTTTGTACTGACTCTCTCTTAGTGACTTTCTGTTCTTAATTTTAGTTATGCTCTCCACTTCCTTCTTCCTGCTTGCCTTGGGTACAACTTGTTCTGCTTTTTGCAATTTAAGGTGAAAGTGTGAGGTCATTGAGTCAAGGCCTTTCTCCTTTTCTAAGATAAGTATTTAATGCTGAAAATTTCTTTTTAAGCACTGCTATGATGTCATCCCACAAGTTTTGGCATGGCTACTTTCATTTTCCTTTAGTTCAGAGTATTTACTGAATTTCTCAATTTTTCTTTTAACCTGTATATTGTTGAATTTAAAAAAATTTTTTCAGGTATATATTCCTGTTATTGTTTCTGGTTTAATTCCACTATAGTCAGAGAGCATTTGCATGTTCTTTTAAGTTTGTTAAAGCCTGTCACCCACAATATGATCTATTTTGGTGAGTGTTCTATGTGCACTTGAGAAGTACGTGTGTGCTCTGCTGTTTCTAGAGTATGGCATTCTGTGAATGCTGTCCGGGTCGGGCTTCTCGGTGCTCCTCTGGAGTTGTGTGTCTTGTGGACTGTCTGCTGGTTCTACTGGCTACTGACAGCTTTGAAGTTTCTGTAATTGTGATTTGCCTATTTCTTCTTTTAGCTTTGTCATTTGTTTGTATAATGTTTATTTTTATTGGAAAGTAAAGTCCAATTTACAGAGAGAAAGAGAGACAGAAAGAAAGATTTTCCATCCACTGGTTCACTCCTCAAGTGATCGTAGCAGCTGGACCTGATCTGATCCAAAGCCAGGGACTAGGAGCTTTTTCTGGGTCTCCCATGCAGATGCAGGGTCCCAAGGCTTTGGGCCATCCTCTACTGTTTTCCCAGGCCACAAGCAGGGAGCTGGATAGGAAATGGAGCATCCAGGATATGAACCAGTGCCTATAGGGAATACTGGAGCACACAAGACGAGAACTTTAGACACTAAGCTATGGTGTCAGGCCCAGCCCTGTCAGTTTTATCTAATGTGGGCATCTTTGTCATTACATAATATTCTCTTTTATCCACATCAGTCTCTTTGTTCTAAAGTCTACTTGGTGTGGTATAAATACAGCTATTCCAGCTTTGTGTGTGTGTATTTCTGTTCATTTTTAAGTGTTTATTTTTCATCTACTTGAAAACTGAGTGATTGAGAGTTACAGAGATCTCCCATCCACCTGTTCACTCCCTAGATGTACACATTACCTCAAGCCTGGCCAATGCAAAACAGAAGCCTGCAGTTTAATCCGAGTGTCCCCTGTGGATGGCAGGGACTCACATATTTGAGCTATCATCTGCTGCTCCCAAAGATGTACATTGGCAAGAAACTGGAACAAGGGCTGGCATTGTGACATATCAAGTTAAGCCCCCCCTTTTTTTTATTATATTTTGGCAATATTTATATTGTTGATTAGGGTAAAAAGTTACAAGGGCTAAAGGGAATATTGAGGAGAAGCCCCACCCAGTCTCCCACCCACACCAGGTCCCAGATGTAGGGCATGCTCTGAGATCCTTGCTCAAGTGGTCCCGGTAGTTCACCAGTTATGCATTGCTGCCAATCTCGCCACTCCAGACACAATGAGGCTGTTAAATAATCTACTGATTGACATAGTCCATCATAGAGTCTCCCTTTGTCCAGTGTTTTGCTGCCAACATATAGCTGTGGTAGTTGATTGACCTGTTCTATCCTCCATCCCTTCTTGGTTAAAGCTCTGAGTCCACCATTTCGGTTGAGGGGATCCCCAAAGAAACTTTGAGGTGTTCCCAAACCAGATTCCTATATATACTAGCAAGTACAGGACCTGGCACAGTCCATCTCCCCAATCAGCTGGAGGTTGCAATGCTGGGTTGATTGCATCTTCAGCCCCAACTTCCACTGGAATCAATGGGTGCCACAGTCCTTCCTGCCCCCGTTCATCACATTCTCAGCCATCAACAAGCCAGTGGGAGCTGCAGCCTAGTCAGTGACCCTGATTTGCTAGCATGTGCAGCAGACCAGTTCAGTCTGGTCCACATCCCATTTGGCTCTCATAAATGTCGAAGGGTATTGGAGCTTAGTTCCATCCAAGCAGCTCAACTGTCCAGCCCTCACGGATGTTGTAGAGTGCCTCTCTGTCTAGCCACCCCAGCCCCTGTCCTAGTTATTTTGTGCCCTCCCATGGGAGTGGTAACCCAAGAGGGAGGAGCCCACTATTTCCCTCCCAGGTCACTCTCACTCCCAGATTATGCTCTCTCCAGGTGGCCCTGTGGTTGGACTTGACAGTATTAGCCCCTAGTACCAGCTTCTGCTACTGTTAAGCCCCAGCAGCTCTCACCCCCTCTAGTTTTGTTAGCACCAGTAGGAACAGTCCATCCATCCTGGCTCTTCCCTGATCTGGTCCAGATGAGGCACACAGGTGCTGCAGTCCTGCCTAGTCTATTCCATCCCCATCCCAGTCCATGCTCTCCAGTGGGAGTAGCTATCCAGCAAGGGAACCACCCCTTATTCCTCTGTTGGCCCTGCCCCTCCCTTCCTGACTCTCACGTGTGCTGGTTGGGTGCTGCAGTCTCCTCTGGCACAGGCAGCCTCACCTTGGCATTCTGTGTTGTATACTGCTTTTGTCGCAACTGAACCTGGCTCAACCCACACTCTGCTCTGGTGTTCGGATTTGCCAGTGAATTCAGCCTGGTCCTCCCCAACCCAGGCCAAATGCATGCCAGTGGGACACCTTACATAACCTCTTCTGGGTTGTTTCCTTCCATGCTTCTTGCACTTATTTGTAGGATCCGTGTCCTGTCAGAGAAGTTGCTCAGGCTCCTCCCTCAGAACCCCTCCTGATGCCAGGTCTCGCGCTTACCAGTGGGTCCGTGGGCCAGCACCACTCAGCTCACCTCCTGTCCCAGCAGGAGCAGTAAGCCCCACCTTTGTGATGCCAACGTCCTATTTGGGCATCAGTTTGAGTCCAGGATTACCCTCCCCCCATCTTTTTAAAATATATATTTATTTTTATTGGAAGACAGATCAGATTTACAAAGAGAAAGAGAAAGATCCTCCATCCGCAGGTTTATTCCCCAGATGGCCACAAAGACTGGAGCTGAGCTTGTCTGAAGCCGGGAGCCAGGAGCTTCTTATGGGTCTGCCACACGGGTGCAGAATCCCAAGGCTTTGAGTCGTCCTCTACTGCTTTTCCCAGGCTGTAAGCGAGATTGGGAAGTGTAGAATTTGGGGCACAAACTGGCACCCCATTTGTGCCTGGGGAAAGCAGTGGAATCTGGTCCAAGGGTTTGGATATGTACCACCCATGCAAGAGATTCGAAAGAAGTTGGATCCTGGCATTACAGCCAACTGGGTACTGCACAAGTGGATCAAAGGTCTCTGTGTTTCTGTCTCTCTCTGTAACTCTGCCTTTCAAATAAATCTCTTAAAAGGAAAAGAAAAAGCAGAAGCTGGAATGCAGAGCTGTTCTGGACTTGAGTCTGGGTGTAGGTGACCAAGGGTGATTTAATTACTGCACCGTTGTTTGCTTTTTTTCTTTGTTTTTCTGCACCTTTATTTGCTTGCTCTTGGTTATACTCTTATAGTCTACTTACAGTAAAAATTTTACCACTTCAAGTAAAATATAGAAGCTTTATAACTATGTAGGTCCTTTTCCTGTATCTTCGCTACTTTTTTTTTTTAGATTTATTTATTTTTATTACAAAGTCAGATATACAGAGAGGAGGAGAGACAGAGAGGAAGATCTTCCATCCGGTGATTCACTCCCCAAGTGACTGCAACGGCCGGTACTGCGCCAATCGGAAGGGAACCAGGAACTTCTTCTGGGTCTCCCACACGGGTGCAGGGTCCCAAAGCATTGGGCTGTCCTCAACTGCTCTCCCATGCCGCAAGCAGGGAGCTGGATGGGAAGTGGAGCTGCCGGGATTAGAACCGGTGCCCATATGGGATCCCGGTGCGTTCAAGGTGAGGACTTTAGCTGCTAGGCCACGCTGCCAGGCCCTTCCCTACTTTTTAATTTTAGTTGTTCAGTTGATTAATTTGAAAGGCAGAAAGGGAGAGATTCACTGGTTCCCTCCCTAAATTGCCACAATAGCTAGGGCCAGCTCAGGTGAAAGCCAGGAGAAAAGAACTCCATCTGGTCTCCCATATGGGTGTTAAGGACCCAAATACTGTATGTGGCTGTCTTCCACTGCCTTCCTAGATGCATTAGCAGGTAGCTGCATCGGAAGCAGAATGGCTGTGACTTGCCAAGATGGATTGGGATGTGGAGTTGCTGGGACTTGAATCTGTACTCTGATATAGGATACTGGCATCCCAAGCAGCAGTTAACCCTCTGTGCCACAGCATCCAGTTCTGTTGACTGAGAATTGGACGCATTTTCTTCGTTCCTAACGTCAAGTCATTTCAAATTTTATCCTGAACATTTAATCTTGATACTGTGTTATTAAACTGAGTCCTCATTGTTGATGGTTTTAACTTAGTAGGTAGCCAAACTTTGGATACCTCAATCACAAGTTCCTTTTCTTGTCTGTGGTGGTCCCAGTGTCAGTTCGGTTCGGAGGTTTGTGATAGCTGCTCTGGTCTTCTCAAATGTGAATGTGCCAGGGTGGGAGTTAGTCACACTTGGGCAGTGATTTATGTCATAGTTCACATCTCCTAACCCTTCTCTGTGCTGCTTTGAATTTTCCCTGTGCATTGTTAGCTCAGGAATGAGCCCAAAATTGATGGTATCTTATGTATGGAATCAGATCCACTTTCTCAGCCCACTCCTCTCCTGAATTCCTGCCATACTCTTTGTCCCTGGAAGTTTCCTTTTCCCGCTCTTCTGCCGAGAAAGCTAGGGTTTCTGTAGGCGTTGTAGACTTCCATACCACTATTGCAACAGTTCAAACCCACAAAAGAAAACAAGAGAAAAGAAAAAAAAAAAAAAAAAACAGGAAACAGCACTGCATGTGTTATGTCTTGTTATGTCTTTAAGTTTTGACTCTTCTCCACAGTCCATTTGCTTTTGTTTACTTTTTGGAGCCCTAAGTTATTTATGTGTTTATATTTTTTGGTGTGTCGTCCAGAATTTTTAATTATATTTAAGTCGGAGAGCAAGGTTTCACTGAGCTTATTCCATCTTTGTCAGCTTGATTTCTGCCCCTTCTGATAATAATTAAAAAGCATGACAGCGGCACAGTTTTAGTTTTCAAACTTCTGTGAGATTTGCTAAAGTTGGATGTCATGTTGTGTGCAACTTGACATTGTGTGAGTCAGGAATGTGAGGAAAGAGGGAGAATGGGAGAAGAGTGGTGATAGAATGCATGTGGCAGGATGGTCAGGTTTGGGTTTAGGGGAAGGGTACGTGGGTACTCACTTGCTTTTCCAACTGGGATATAATTTTTAAAATTTTGTGATAGACTCTGATCTTTGTAATTTATAATTTTTATTAACTCCATTAGCCTGATGCTTACATCAACTTGATGGTGATGTGTGGAGTATTTTTAATGGGTCAAACACAGACATTGAATGGGGAGCTCATCGTGGCTCCCTTTCTTCCTGAGAAGAGACTCACTTCCTTTGGATTGTTTCTATTTGTCTTCCCACAGCCTCTTTTCCTTTGGTTGCCTTAACAAATTTAGACTTGCTGAATTTTGTGAGTAGTGGGCCTGTCCCCAAAGGTTCACTGTCCGTTCTTTCACTTCAGACAGTTCCAAGCTCGGGTGTCTCGACAGGCCCTGCTGGCGCTTGAGAAAGAACCCGAGGAGGACGATTTGGAAGCTTCTGTAGCACAGCGAAGCACACTGGCCGAACTCAAGAGCAAAGGGAAGAAGACTGCAAGAGCGCCCATCAGCCGGGTCGGAGGTGCTCTCAAGGGTAAGCGAGTTACATGTTCTTTGGGAAAACCTTTAGTGTCTGGTGAGGGGCAAATTAGAGAAACAAATAATTGATGAATATACAGGTGGACAGAGTCCTGATTTTCTGGGCACTGGGGAGCAAAAAGAAGGTGTCAAAGGAGAGATGATATAAAATAGTGTGTAATAAAATCAAAATCAAAATCTCTAGCAGGTTTTGTGTGTGTGTATGCACTTTTAAGATTTTATTTTTATTTAAAAGGCAAGTTTAAGAGAGAAGGAGAGACAAGTGGCCAGAACAGCCAGAAGTTAGCCAATCCAAAGCCAGGAGCTTCTTCTAGGTCTCCCACTAAGATGCAGGAGCCCAAGAATTTGAGGTATCCTCCACTTCTTTTCCAGGCCATAAGCCTGAGAGTTTGATGGGAAGTGAAGCAGCCAGGACATGAACTACCATCCATATGGGATGCTGGCACCATAGGCAGACACTTAGTTTATTACACTACCATACCTAACGCAGGCTAATCATTTGTCTGCAGTGCCAGCATCCTATATGGACGCTGGTCCAAGTCTACTTATAGAGCCCCTTGCTTATGGCCTGGGATAGCAGCAAAGGATGGCTCTAATCCTCAGGTTCTTGTATCCAGTGTGAGAGACTGGCAGGAGGTTCCTGGCTCCTGGTGTTCAAATTGGCTCAGCTCCAGTCATTGCGGCCATTTAGGGAATGATCTCTGTGTGTGTCTCTCTCTATAACTCTGCCTTGTAAATAAAATTAAATATTGAAAAAAAAAAAGAGGGCAACAGTTGGACTCTGTACATCTTGCAACAATCAACAATAAACATTTTTTAAAAATTAACAATGACTATTTTTTTAGAGGATTTTCAGGTTCAAAGAAAAATTGAACAGAAGGTTCAGAGAGCAGTAAACTATTAGAAAACTGCAGAGTTCCACTGAGGAGAAAGATTAGAACCAAGAATAAAAACTTATGATAATTTCTGATAAAACTGGATATTAAGCTGGTGACTGAAGGAATATGTAGAATTTCTGGATAAAAGACTGGAAGTACTTGGTGGAAAGAAGGAAAATGGATAGAGCAAAAATAAAAAAGTGTTGAAAAAAAAAGACTCTTAATATTTTAAAAACTTTTTTATTCCATGGTGATAGAAATATAAATATTCTTGATTTGAGTAAGAATAGATGTAATTTATCTGTCATTTAAATGATAATTATATAATTTTATATTCATTTTAATATTTTTCTCCTAGCTCCAAGCCAGAATAGAGGCCTTCAAAATGCAGTTCCTCAACTTATGCAAAGTAATTGTAGAATTACAGTTTTTGATGAAAACACGGGCGAGGCTTCTCTAGTGGAGTTAGCCAAGCCTTCAGTTGAGCCGTGGACAGCACGCCCTGTGGCCAGGGCCAAAGAGAATGAGCTGCAAGCAGGTCCTTGGAATATAGACAGACGTTCACAATACAGGGTAAGGACTCTTATCCAGTGTGTTTGTTTACCAAAGTTCCGAAGACATCAGTTGTAGAGTTAAGGAATATTTTAACCCCTCTTGAATATTTAGCCATGTTCTGCATATGCTGTGTTAGAATGTGAAACTGTGATAATTTTTGTTTTCTTTAGTCTCGTGGCAGTGCAGCTGCTATGGCATTTGAGCCCCCTGCACGTCCCAGTTTTACTCCATATGTGGAAGAGACTGCACAACAACCAGTTATGTAAGTTTTATTTCTAGATTTTTTTTTTAATACCTAGGGAAAAATATACAGAGATATTCCATTCATCAGTTTACTCCTCATATGTCATCAACAGCTGGGATCATGCTATGCAGAAACTGGCAGCTATGAACTCAATCCAGATCTCCTGTGTATGTGTCAGGGGCTTAGCTATGTGAGCCATCAGCTCCTGCCTCTTGGTGTATGCCTCTGCAGAAAGCTGGGCACCAGTTCATGTCCCAGCTGCTCCACTTTCCATCTAGCTTCCTGCCTGTGGTCTGGAAAAGCAGTAGAGGATGGCCCAAAAGTTTGGGACCCGGTGCCCAAGAAGCTCCAGGCTCCTGGTTCCAGATCTGCTCAGCTCAGTTTCCACTGTTGTGGCAACTCAGGGAGATCTTCCTGTCTGTCTTTCCCTCTTTCTCTTTAAACCTGCCTTTCCAATAAAAGTAAATTAAAAAAAAAATAAAATCATGTGAGCCCTTATAAAAATTGGTAACATTATATTTATAGATGTTTAATTTTTGTAAAGTTTCAGATTGCTTTGCTGAAACATGGATTATGTTGAAATTAGTGTAGTGTAGAAAAGTTACCAAAAAAGGAACATGTAACCAAAAAAAGAAACATGTAGCAAAAAAAGAATAATGTAACAAAAAAGGAAACCTGTACCAAAAAAAGGGAAACTGTAGCAAAATAGAGGGAACATGTACCATAGACAGGGAACATGTACCATAGACAGGGAACATGTACTAAAAATGAGAAGATGTAAAAAAAGAGAACGTGTACCACATAAAGGAAACCTGTACAAAAAGGGGAACCTCTAGCAAAAAAAAAATAGTATACTAAAAAAGGGAACACGTACAAAAAAAGGAACACATAGCACACACAAAAAAGAACCTGTACCAATAAAAGGGAACCTCTAACCAAAAAAAGGGAACATGTAGCAAATAAAAAAGGGGAACCTGTACCAAAAAGGGGAACCTGTACCAAAAAAAAAGGGAACCTCTAGCCAAAAAAGGGAACGTGTAACAAATTAAAAAAGGGGGAACTGTACCCAAAAAAGGGAACCTCTAATCAAAAAAAGGGAACATGTAGCAAAAAAAAGGGGAACCTGTACCAAAAAGGGGAACCTGTACCAAAAAAAGGGAACCTCTAGCCAAAAAAGGGAACGTGTAGCAAATAAAAAAAGGGGGAACTGTACCCAAAAAAGGGAACCTCTAATCAAAAAAAGGGAACATGTAGCAAATAAAAAAGGGGAACCTGTACCAAAAAGGGGAACCTCTAACCAAAAAAAGGGAACATGTAGCAAATAAAAAAGGGGAACCTGTACCCAAAAAAGGGAACATGTAGCAAAAAAAGGGGGAACCTGTAGCAAAAAAAAAAAAAAGATAGTATACTAAAAACGGGAACATGTACAAAAAAAAAAGGAACACGTAGCACACTCACAAAAGAACCTGTACCCAAAAAAGGGAACCTCTAGCCAAGAAAGGGAACATGTAGTAAATTAAAAAAGGGGGAACCTGTAGCAAAAAAAAAAAAAAAAGATGGGGAGAGAAACTGTAGCAAAAAAAAGGTACCAAAAAAGGAACATATTACCCCCCAAAAAAGAGAGCATGTAACAAAAAAAGTTAAATTCTTTTTCGTGTCTCATTTTATTGCTAACACATTTTTAAGGTTTTTTATATCTTATTGATGTGTAGTTAAGGAAAACCAGTTAATTGGAGGAATCCCAGAGCCTATGAAACTGTTACCTAATGCAACGTAATAAAAAAAAAAAATTTAAATCTGTAATAAAAATTGCACATTCCCCCACCCAATAATGTGTCGTTTTCTTTTTGCTCTGTGTAGCAGTAACTTTTATAAATAATATTAATTTTTTTTCACAGTTGAATAATTGTTTTGGCTTCTCTGTCCCAGTCCTTCAATGTCATGCCCCTCTGTGCTCAGTGCTCTCACAGCGCTGTAGTACATGTGTGCAATCTTCTGCATGTTCCCCATCACCTTTGGGCTGAAATCCCCAAGTTATCATTCTGATTTGGCCTCTGCATCTCCACTTTACCTTCTTGCATTGGTCACACTAGACTGAATTTATCTAGAATAGCCTAAGAGCTGCCCTTACCCACTTCTAACTGAGGCTGCTGTGTTTACTCTCTGCCACAGCTTTTCTTGTTTCTACCTTCTGGTGTGTGGCCTCCTTGGTGCTATGTCTCCCTATCTTCAGTTCCAGTCCTGGAGTTCTCTCTTATACCACGTGTGGTGACCTGAGTTGAGTTCCAGGCTCCCGGCTTCAGCCTGGCCCAGACCAACTGCTGTAGGCATTTGAGGAGAGAACCAGCAGAAGGAAGATTGTTTTCTTTTATCTTAAAATCTTATTTTTTTTTAAAGAGATGTTAATAAAAAGCCAAACTGCGTAAGGTTTGGAGAAGAGTACCTGGGAACTTTTCTGTAGTATTCAGTATTTTTAAAAGCCTAGAAATTCTTTTAAAAATAAATTTTTAAAAAATTATTTTATTAGGGCCTGGCAGCGTGGCCTAGCGGATAAAGTCCTCACCTTGAACGCGCTGGGATCCCATATGGGCACTGGTTCTAATCCCAGTAACTCCACTTCCCATCCAGCTCCCTGCTTGTGGCCTGGGAGGGCAGTCAAGGATGGCCCAAGGCTTTGGGACCTTGCACCCATGTGGGATACCCGGAAGAGGTTCCTGGTTCCTGGCTTCCGATTGGCGCAGTACCGGCTATTGTGGTCACTTGGGGAGTGACTCATCAGATGGAAGATCTTCCTCTCTGTCTCTCCTCCTCTCTATTATCTGACTTTCCAATAAATAAATAAATCTTTTAAAAAAAATGATTTTATTAGAGGAAGGTCTTCTGATGATTCACTCGCCAAGTGGCCACAATGGCCAGAGCTGAGCCAATCCAAAGCCAGGAGCCAGGAACTTCCTCCAGGTCACAAATGTAGCAGCTGGGACACAAAGCACTGCACATATGAGTTGCTTAAGAGGAAGTTCAGGGCCTGGCACAGTGGCCTAGTGGCTAAAGTCCTCCCCTTGAACGTGCTGGGATCCCATATGGGTGCCAGTTCAGATCCCAGCATGCTTCCCATCCAGCTCCCTGCTTGTTGCCTGGGAAGGCAGTCGAGCATGCCCAAAGCCTTGGGACCCTGTACCTGCGTGGGAGACCTGGAGGAGGCTCTGGGCTCCTGGCTTCGGATCAGCACAGCACCGCCATTGCTGTTGCTTGGGGAGTAAATCATTGGATGGAATATCTTCTTCTCCGTCTCTCCTCTCAGTATATCTGCCTTTCCAATATAAAAAACTGAATCTTAAAAAAAAAAAAAAAAAGGAAGTTTAGCCACTTGAGCCATCAAGCTAACCCTTGCAATTGTTCATTTCAGTTTCACATTGTTCTTTGTAAGTGTATAAAACATGGTTGATTTTGGCATCTTTTGGGAAACTTATTTAATGGTTATTTCGTGAATCTAAGTTGTAATTAATTTTATATATATAAATAAATAGAAGTATATATGGCCAAAGTGAGAGCATCTGCCTGTCCTGACTGAAGTTTCCAGTCTTTACTGCCCTCCTGTCACCCTCAATAGCAATCCTTGAGCTTCCTGTCATCGTTTTCCTAGTGGTTCATTTTTTTTAAGTTTTATTTTATTTTTATTGGAAAGTTAGATGTACAGAGTTAGTTGTACCATCCAATGATTTCACTGGTCCACAAAGGCCGGTGCTGTGCCAGTCTGGAGCTTCTTCTGGATCTCCCACATATGTGCAGCATCCCAAGGCTTTGGGCCGTCCTCGACTGCTTTCCCAGGCCACAAGCAGGGAGCTGGATGGGAAGTGGAGCTACCAGTGTCCATATGGATCCTGGTACATGCAAGGCAAGGACTTCAGTTGCTGGACTACTGCACCATGCCCAGTGCTGCATTTTTTTTTAAGATTTATTTTATTTTTATTGGAAAGACAGATATACAGAGAGGAGGAGAGACAGAGTGGAAGATCTTCTGTCCGATGACTCATTCCAAGTGACGGCAATGGCTGGAGTTGAGCCAATCCAAAGCCAGGAGCCAGGAGCTCTTCCGGGTCTCCCATGTGGGTGCAAGGTCCCAAGGCTTCGGGCCATTCTCAACTGCTTTCCCAGGCCACAAGCAGGGATCTGGATAGGAAGCAGGGCCTGCCAGGAGTATACCAGCGCCCACATGGGATCCTGGTATGTATGTGCAAGGCAAAGACTTTAACCACTACATTATCGCACCAGGCCCCAGTGCTACATTTTTTTTTTTTTAAATTGATTGCATTGCATTATGTGACACAGTTTTATAGGCACTGGGATTCCCTCTTCCCTTCCCCAAACTCCACCCCCGCAATGGTGGATTCCTCCACCTTGTTGCATTACCACAGTTCAAATTCAGTTGAGATTCTTTCATTGCAAGCATCCACAAAGCATAGAGTCCAGCATCTTATTGTCCAGATAAGTTCAACAGTTTCTTGGGGAGACCGTCTTGGTCTGAAGGTAGAGGCCACAGAGTATCATCCCAATCAATTAAAAGCCCCGACATTACATCAGTAACAATTTATAACGTAATGGAATTAGTTGACATGGTATTGAGTAACCAACATGTTAAAAGAGAGGAAAAAAGGAATGCAAGTTCTGGACCACATCCTATGACTTCTACATTGACATTTCAATTATTAGTTTATATACAACTGGATTCTATACACCTTAAAATGGCTATAGATTACTATTCAGCTGTCTCACATCTATTTTAATTTTAGTATTTAGTAGTTTATAGCGTTGAAGCATGATTTTGCAGAACCTGGCTGTTTTCCGGGTAGTCTAACTCTGTAACTCTAACAAGACATGTCAACAGTTTAGGTGAACAGTTTTAGGAAGGGTGTGCAGAGAAATCTTCAATACTCTAGTGAGGAGTAACTAATCTTTGTGTCCCACCCAGTGAGTTATAAGTGCATCCTCACTGACCGTTTCCTGTCTGTTTCTAAACTTTCCTTGTTGTTCTCTGTCTATCTATTCTAGTTTTTTTATTTGTTTGTTTGTTAGTTTGTTTTGAGGGGATTCTGGAGCAATCCTGATGGTCATTACGAGAGAGGGTGGGGACCCAAAGTCGACACCAGGCAAGGACCAGAGAAAGCTCCTCTCCCTAGTCCCGAAGGAAGTTTACTGTTCTGTTTCTGAAGACCCCTCAGTACTCCTGGTTGCCTTTCCGATGACCTTGGATCCTACAAGGCAGCATTTGGGCTTCTTCTATCCCATGTGGGAGATCCAAATGGAGGTGGGTGACCTCAGAGTTCTCAGCCTCTGAAGGCACTCCAATTCCCCATGGTCTCCTTGGCGGTTGGGATGCAATCCTCAGAGCTCGTACTGATAGTCCTTGGTGAGGATCTAGGAGTCTTCAGGGTTGGCAGTGCTACATTCTTAATACTAATTGTTTTGAGTGCTAAATTGTGAAGCACTAATATTTTATGTAAGCTAACTTCTTTCCTTCAAAATGTGGTATTAAGGTTTATTTTTACCTATAAAAATAAGCTACTTGACAATTTTAACTTATGCCAGGGTCTCCTCCCTCATCCTAACAGACGCGGTATTCTGATTACCCTGATAAATTATTTTTAGTCTCTTACATTTATGTTTTTTGTTTTCTTAATGGATCACATATATATAGCTTGTCACTGAAACATCTTTGTGTTTGATCAAAATAACCCCTTTTTAGTGGCTGTAGTGAACAGTTGTTACTTTGCTTCTTTAGGACACCATGTAAAATTGAACCCAGTATAAGCCATGTCCTAAGCACCAGAAAGCCTGGCAAGGAAGAAGGAGACCCACTGCAAAGGGTTCAGAGTCATCAGCAAGAGTCTGGGGAGAAGAAAGAGAAAATGATGTATTGCAAGGAGAAGATTTATGCAGGAGTTGGGGAGTTCTCCTTTGAAGAAATCCGGGCTGAGGTTTTCCGGAAGAAACTAAAAGAGCGAAGGGAAGGTGCGTGATTGAATTCAAGTTTGTGGAAATAATTTAGTCCTAGCAAAGCTGAGCTGTTAGGTTAAGCTCTAAGTGGGGAGCTGCCCCATTATTACTAGCCTTATGTGATTTTTCTGTGACTGTCCTGTGTCTCTGAACTGGCATGTACGTGCATACCATGCCTCCCCCTGTAGTTCTTTTCCTAATGTTGAATGTTGCCTGTTTCACTCTGCCTAAAATTTCTCCAAAGACAAAATCAGTGCTTGCTTGAACCCAGGCATCCCACGTAGCATTGTAACTGCTGTGAGTTACAATGAGTTAAGGGTCAGTTCAGAGAAGCTTTGCACTGAATTGGGAAAGTTACTATAATGAAATCTGTTCTGCTTCTGGGGCCTGGAGTGCTAGGAGGAAGGCAGCAGAGCAGAAAGGGGCTACAAAGTGGAGAGTTTGACACTTAGGCTGTCAGGCATTGAAAATGAAGGGCAGTAAGGACAGCTTTGAGAAAAAAATTGGAAGAGGGTCCACAAATAAATGTCACCCCTTTGGACACTGTCATTAAGATCTGTATCAATAGAAAAGGAGTTATGTTTCTTTTATACATGAATATCCAGAATAATCTGCTATTATAGCTCAACTCTCTAAATTCCCGTAAAGCAAATTGTTAGTGAATTTAAAATGTGTTTATTTTACATCAACTAGTGCCTACCATGACTGACAGAAGTGCTCAAGGTCCAAATAATAGATGAAAACTACAACTTGGGTATCTAGGCTATGAAATAAAAATACCTACAAAGAAAGCATTTTAATAAATGTGTACCAGTGGTGAGCATCTGGCAAAAGTTAAGCCCTCACCTGAGCCCCATGTGTAGTAAGGAGTCCCTGGGTTTGAGTTCTGCTCTGCTCTCTGTTCCAGCTTCCTGATAACACAGCTCCTGGGAAGTGGTGGTGATAGCTGAGGTGGCTGGGTCTTGGCCCCAGCTTGATTCAGTCCCCACTTTTGAAATTTGAAAGATGTCTCTCTGCCTGTGAAATAAAGAGTAATAAAAATAAATTAATAAAATTTCTCAAAAGACTTCTATTCTAAAAATGAGATTCACTGCAATAAAGAAATGGGTTAGGAGAGTAAATATGACTTTGACTTGGAAAAAAAAAAGACAAGGTTTTCTTTTTGTTGTTGTTTGAGGTGAAAGTTACTTGCTTAAAGGAAGATCCTAACTATAGCAAGAATATAGAAATAAGATGAAAATATATTTTATCCTCAGCTACTCGGAAAAGGACTGTTACAGTTTGGTGGGATTTAAGTATCTGAAAAGAAGTATTGATTGATGTCTGAATGTTTTTTCTTTAGTACTTGTTTCCAAGTCTACTTTATGAGCTTAAAATTTCCATCTGAATGGTTTGTACTCTTGTGAGTCCTCATACCTATAAATATGAATTATTTATTTGAAAAGCAAAGTTACAGAAAGAGGCAGAGGGACATCTTCCATCTGCTGGTTTAGCCCCCAAATGACTGCAACAGTCAGGTCTGGCCAGCTGAAGCCAGGAGCCAAGAACTCTTGGGGTTTCTCAAGTATGTGGCAGACCCAAGTGCTTGGGCTGTTACTTGCTGCCTACCTGATACATCAGCAGGGAGCTGGTTTGGAAGTGGAGCAGCCAGGAAGTGAGCCAGGCTCCCATATGGAAATCTGGCTTCATAGGTGGGGGCCAACTCACTACACTTTAGTGTCTGCCCCTAACTGTTGGTTCTTTATTTCTGTTGAAGCCTGGCTTCAAAGATGGATACAAGGAAAGAGGAGGCCACAACCTGGACTTATGCACAAGGTCATTCTTCTCACAGCTGGTCCCAAACTTTTTTTTTTCCCCACTACTCCAAAAATTCTGGCTTCTTTTAGATTCGTGTTCCTTCTTTTTCCTGTCTTCTGAGTCTCCTTAGCGATTTCTTTTTGACTTGTAAGTCTCTCATTCATCTGGCTTATTATCTTGCTTTTCAATGAAAAAGAGAGGGAGAGACAGAGAAGATGTATTTCATCTCATACCTTACTCTGCACATGGTCATGATTGTCAGGGCTGGGCCACTTTGAAGCTGGGACCTCCATCTGGGTCCCCCACCTGGGTGGCAGCCATCTTCTGCTGCCTCCCCAGGCACATTAGCAGGGAGCCAGATTGGAAGCAGAGAGGTTGGAAGCAGAACCAGCACTGATATGGAATGTCAGGATTGCAGTTGGCATCTTAGCTCACTGTTGTGGGAGATCACCCCTGGATCTCTGCCTGCTGGCCTGTGTGGGAGGTCACAGACCCACAGCACACCTTGTCACAGAGTGGGGGTTGAGAGAACCCCTGACTGTGGTTTCAGTTAACTAAGACCTCAACATGTCCTGTTCACTGGTCATACAGGCAAGAGCAGTGGGTTGCACCCCGGTCTCTCTTCTCTGTCCTTAGATGAGCTGTTCTGGGACTTCATTGATAAGCAGATGTGGCCCATGTTACCTGCCAGCCTACCTGGTGTACATGACCCACAGCCTACTTACCAGCCTTGAGTGTTGTATGTGACTTATGTCTGACTGGAGGGTCTAGAGAGGTAATTGTGCCTTCTAGCCAATTATAGTGCCACTGTTGGGTGGGAGGACTGTCGAGAATTGCTCTTCGACCTTCCATTTTCTTAGTCTATATAAGTTTGTGCTTTCGTTACAATAAATGAACATGCTTGATCAGGTTGTCTCCGGTGGTTCATGCGGCTGCTGAACACCATTGCCTCACCCCCTCAGTGGTTTTAGAGGCCTGCTGGCAGGAAAACCCCCAAGACACTGTGCCATAATACCAGCCTGGGTATCTTTCTTTTCTATGCCTATACCATCCATAACTTCTCAGTTATTGAGCCACCATCCCTCCTGTGATTCTTCCTCAGCCTTATCTATCACCCCCTTGTTGACTATCACCTGGTGACTATACCACTACAGAAATCTCTCCTTACAAGGTCCTATTTTTTGACCACTAACTTCTCTTTTAGAACTCCACTTCTGAAGTTCTTTGGTCTCGTTGAGATTGCTCAATCCATTTTTATTATTCATTACCATCTTTAAGTGCTGATTTCTTTTGTTACAGCTTAAAGTCATAGTCAGTCATAATCATTCCTTGCAAGAACCCTTACCTCCTTTGTTCCTCGGTCCCTGCGTATGTGCCTGCAAAACCTCAACCCTGGTTACATCTGTACCTGCATTCAGGCAGTTCAGATGCAACCATGTATATCATTTAAAGTTTATGGCTACAAACCTCTAATGAACATTCACTATTGCCTAGTAGTTTCACCTCATTTCCCCAGTTTTTTCTGTCTGCTGTACAACTAATTTAGTTTTCTCTCATATTTGTAGACCATCTCAGCTTGATCGTACTTCATATTTCTTTGAGATAATTGAAGCAATCTAATGATAGCACCACTTTCTTACCACCACCAAATTTGCCATTACCTGTAATCTGTACCCATATACTACAGCTCACATCTTTCTGTCCAAGTTGTTAAGATTTCTCTGTTTGGTTTTTAGAACTCATCCCCACTCACCTCAGTGATTTGGTTCTCACAGCTTTTCTTGCATCTGTGTTATTTTTCCCTTCCTACTAAGCCATTCATATCATAATAGAAATATATATTTCCATTAAAAAAGATAAACCCCTCCAGTATCTCCATATTCTTCTCCATCCATCAGCTCATTCTTCTGTTTTCCTAAGAACTGTGATCTCTACTCCCCCAAGTGTTCCTTCTGTTATAGTGAAACGCCTCTGGTCATGGCCAAGCTCAGGGGCTGTTTCTTGGCTGTGGAGGTTGTTTGGCACAGCTGGTGTCGTGTTTCTCCATGAAGTGCTTCTCTTGCCTTCTTTCTTGTTGCATATTCCCTCTCTGTTTGCTGCTCTCCTGTTTCCCTAGGACCTCTTCCCTAGACCTGGGATAGAGTACCAGAAACCCCAGTTATCTTCTCTGTTCACAACTTTTCCTGTTTGTCTCCCAGCCATGGCCTCTCAGATTCATCTCCCCATCTCTGACATTTCACCTGAGCTCCATATTCAGATGTAGATGCATTCACCTGTGCTAACAGACATTTTAAATTTAGCATAGAATCTGCCCAGACCTTTGTATGACTATTCTCTTGTCATTCAGATTATAGCTTTGTAATGTTTGTCAATGATACTCTCTGATCACTGGTGTTAAGTAGCCACTGACTTCTATTCCATACCACAGTGGGGAATATTTTTTATTTCTGCCAAGGACCATTTAGATAGGTATAACATCATTTGTGAGTTGCACAAAAAGTTGTCAATTAAAAATTAGCCCAGGGCCCGGCGCAATAGCGTAGTGGTTGAGGTCCTTACCTTGAACACACCGGGATCCCATATGGATGCCGGTTCTAATCCTGGCAGCTCCACTTTTCCATCCATCTCCCTGCTTGTGGCCTGGAAAAGCAGTGGAGGATGGCCCAAACCCTATACCCGCGTAGGAGACCTGGAAAGAAGTTCCTGGCTCCTGGCTTCAGATCGGCGCAGCACCAGCAGTTGTGGTCACTTGGGGAGTGAGTCATCGGATAAAGATCTTCCTCTCTGTCTCTTCTCCTCTCTCGACATCTCCCTTTCCAATAAAAATAAATAAATCCTTTTTAAAAATTAGGCCACTATAGATTTATAGAATTTTGAGTTCCTTCTGCAGTAGCTTTGGCAAGACCTGAACAAATGATTTCATGGATCTTAAACGGCACACAGGCCAGTCATTCCCCACCCTATGTCACACATTCTCACTATTTTCTTTTATCACTGATTATCTCATTAATTTGTGTGTGTGTGTGTTGTTTCCCTCAAATGTGCGTGGTGGTATCACGTGCCCGAGCACTTTATGCACTACTGAAATCTGGGTACTCAGTTGTGCTTGCACATGGAATGTGCCTAGACCCCAGGAGGACCTTGCTGCACTTAAGTCTTTCTCATCTATATGATTAATATGCGACATGAACCTCAAAGGCAGTTTTTGGCAGAATGAACTGCTATGAGAAGTAACATCTCGGCCAACTAAACTGTTTCCAGCTGAGCTCCTGACCAGTGTAGAGAAGAGAGCAGAGATGCAGAAACAGATTGAAGAGATGGAGAAGAAGCTAAAAGAAATCCAGACTACTCAGCAAGAAAGAGCAGGTGATCAGGTAATTTTTCTTTTTTTACTGTGTGAAGCTAACCTTCACTAAGACAAATTTCAGCATCATCTAAGTTCTCCCAGCCTCTGTTCAGAATTTCTATCAGCAGAAACTCTTTCTTAGCTATCAGTAGCAACAACGTTGAGTATGAAAGTAATTTAAAAGGTGACTTCAAGTGGAATCTATGGCATGTGAAGCTAGAATACAACATTAATTATACTCTAAGTATTGTTTCGTTAATTCTAAGTTTAGCCTTCTATTCTAGTTATGTTCCATTAAAATGGGGTTAACTAAAGAAATTCAGTGTCTGTCTGGCATTGTCTAGCCGAGTATAACAGAACTAGCTCAGACTAGGTACATGATTATTAGACTTGTGGTTCTTTCAACAATAGACATTTTATGGTTAGTGGATATCTAAAAGAGCACAGTAAAGCTGATATTAGAGTTAAGACTTTAAAAATAGCTGGCATTTTCTTCATGAGAGGGATACTAATTTTGTTTATTTAACGCAAAGCAACAAGAAGAGAAGGCGCCTGCAACAGAGACAAATAAGCCATTAACTGCTTCCGAGTCTCAGAAAGTACAAGGAATGACTCAGCCCAGTTACGTTTGCCCAGAAAACCCTTGTATCAGGTAAGACATACAGGTGAAAGGGGCAGTGCTGGCAGCAAAGTGTTTGGGACCAGCTGGTGACTCCCTAGTGATGCGAGGTCTTCGCCACTTAGAGTACTGAGAATGTTTTCTATAAATCCATGTCAACATAGATATTGATGTTGATGAGCTAGGATAAGATGTTAACTTTTTCCCATATATTTCTAATAGAAACAAATATAATTTAAAAACTAGAATGACTCCGATTTTTTTTTTTTATTGGAAAGGTAGGCTTACAGAAAAAAAATAAGATTTTCCATCTGCTGATTCACACCCCAGGTGCCCACAAAGACCAGAGCTGCACCAACCTGAAGCCGGGAGCTAGCTTCAGGTATTCCACACAGGTGCAGGAGCCCAAAGCTTTGAGCCATCCTGCATTGCTTTGGGCCATCCTCCAGTGCTTCCCAGGCCACAAGCAGGGAGCTGGATGGGAAGCAGGGCATGCTGGGATTAGAACTGGTACCCGTATGGGATCTTGGTGTGTGTAAATTGAGGACTTCAGCCGCTAGGCTACCATGCCGGGCTGTATATTTCTCCTTAAAAAAAAAATTTATTTACTTACTTGAAAGACAGAATTAAAAGAGAGGAAGAATCAGAAACTAATATCTTCCATTCATTGGTTCACTCCCCAAATAGCTACAGTGGCTAAAGCTAGGTCAAGACAAAATCAGAAAACTAGAACTCCATGTAGGTCTCCAACATTGTTTAGAGGGGACACAACCACTCAGGCCATCTTCTGTTATTTTCCAAGTCACATTAACAGGGAGTTGAACTGGAGTTAGAGCAGCCAGGACTTGAACCCATGCTTCATGGGATGGGAAGGTGTCACAGATAGCAATTTATCAACACTGCACCACAACATTTGTCCCATTCCTTCTTATTTGAATGTTTATTTATGTATTTGGAAGGCAGAGAGCCAATGCACTGGCACTACAGTGTAATCCTCCATCTGTGTCACTGGCATCCAATAGGAGCACCGACCGATTCAGATTCTGGCTGTTCCACTTCTGCTCCAGAACCCTGATAAGTGCTAGAAAAGCAACATAGCATGGCCAAAGGCTTTGGTCCCCTGTACCTACATGGAAAACCCAGAAGCCACTCTTGTTCCTGGCTTTGAACCAGCCAAACTCTGGCTATTAAGGGCTATTTGGATAGTGAACCAGCAGATAGAAGATCTCTATCTCCTTCTTCCCCTTTCTCTGTAATTGGGACTTTTCCAATAAAAACAATAAATCCTTAACAGTATCAGAAGGAGAGATCTTCCATCCATTAGCTTACTTTCCAAATGGCTGCAACAGCTGGGGCTGAGCCAGGCTGACACCAGAAGCCTGCAACTCTTTACAGGTTTCCTACATGGGTGACAGGAACTCGCTCTCTTGAGACAAGCATCTGTTGCCTCCTAGGCCTATCAACAAGGAACTAAACCAGAAGCATAAAAGCCAAGATGCAGCCAACACTCTTACATGGGATGCAGATATCCCACGTTCTAGCTTAACACTCTGGGCCACTACATCCACCCTGTATTTTTTCCTATTGTGCTCCATTTTTGTCCTATTAAAATGTCAGCTTACTGTTTTCTAATCTGCTTAGTGCTTTTTGTTGTTGTTGTTAAAGGATCTATTTATTTATTTGAAAGGTAGAATGACAGAGATCTCTTCAACTGATTGACTGCCCCAAAGGCGGCAATAGTTAGGGCTATGCCAGGGTAAAGCCAGGAGCCGGGAAGTCCATTCACTGGAAAAAAGTCCATTCACAGAAGAAAATGAAGTACTCAGGATACCTTTCCATGTACATTAGTAGGGAGTTAGATCAGAAGTAGAGCAGTTAGCAGGCAGCAGCTTAATGCGCTACATCGCAACACTGTTCTATTTTTTTAAAGATTTATTTTTATTGGAAAGGCAGATTTATAGAGAGAAGTGACAGAGAGAAAGCTTCTTGTGCTGATTCACTCCCCAGGTGGCCACAATTACTGCACCAATCTGAAGTCAGGAACTTCTTCTAGGTCTCCTACTCGGCTGCAGGGGCCCAGGGCTTTGGGCCATCCTCTGCTGTTTTCCCAGGCCACAAGCAGGGAGCTAGATGGGAAGTAGAACAGCCAAGACACAAACTGTACCCATATGGAATTTCTGCACTTGCAAGAAAAGGATTAACTAATTGAGCTATTGCTCCAGAGCCAGGAATTTCTTCCAAGTCTCCAACGTGGGTGCAGGATCCCAAGGCCTTGGGCTGTTCTCAGCTGCTCTCCCAGGCCACAAGCAGGTTGCTGAATGGGAAGTGGCGCCCCCCAGGACCAGAACCAATGCCCATATGGGATCCCAGCACATTCAAGGCAAGGACTTTTAACTGCTAGGCCACCACGCCAGGCCTCCTGCATAATACACTTAATGTAACCTTACATCTGTTATCACATGTGAAAATACTTTCAAATCTATGGAAAATCAAATTAAACTAAAGCCATGTTATTCTTGGGGTTTTCAAAAAGTTTATGGGAAATGTATTTTCATAAGAAATTTTCATAAAAAAATCATGCATCTGTATAGAGCATTTTAGTGAATGAAAATTCCATCTTGAAGGGAGTGTGAATTGACAGCAATAGAATATTTTTTTTCTTAAAGTGAAGATTATGTTTAATGGAAAAGTCTCTGATTTTAAAAATTGTTCTTTCTGTGGGTAGAAAGCACATGTTTTAAAACATGTTTCTTTACAGGGAAACATCACTCACGGAAAATATTTGGCAGGGACAGCCTAATACTAAAGGTGAGTTTTATTTAACAGCCATATGGCAAACTTGCTAATAACAAATGCATGATGTAAAAAATAGCAAGTTTTTTTTATAACTAGGAATTTCAAAATTGGCAGAGAAGTATCTATGATTTTATCATATGTTTGACTAATGAAATTCGGAATAAGCACATAATTTGAGCTAGGGTAAATTTTTAATTTTTACATTGTTTTTAAAGCTTTGTTTATTTATTTGAAAGGCAGAAATACAGAGAGGGAGATGGTTCACTCCCCAAATGGATGCAATGACTAGGGCTAGGCCAGATCAAAGCCAGGATGCTCATCCAGATCTCCCATGTAGGCACAGGGGCCCACTCACTTGGACAATGTTCCATTGCTTTCCCAGGCACATTCACAGGCAGCTGGATTGGAAGTGGAGCAGCCTGTTCAGGAACTTGCATATGTATGGGATGCCAGCATGGCAAATGCTGGTTTAGTCCACAGCATGAACTGCATAATAAACATATTAGGAGTATTTTCATAGATTTCCTCAGTACTACCAAATAAGTTTAGACTTCTGTCACTGTGTGCTGAGCCAAGCATATCTGTGATATCCAGTAGCTAAAACTATACAGAAAGTGAGTTTTGGGGAAAAAAAGCAAGGTTAACAGTAAATCTATCTAAATTTTCAAATGGTTCTCCTTTGTACTCAGAAACATGTTAAATGTAGTGGAAACATGATTATCAGGTTTTTTAAATAACAAAATCTAATTAAATCACTAACCTAATCCTATACATTATCCTATGTATAGGAAAAATAAAGCATATAGGAACTTATAGAAAAACTCAAGGAAGTGTTATTGGCAAAAGTTGGCATTTTGTGGCAAAGAATCTGATTTCTTCAGTGAAACATTATCAAATGAACCCTTGAGAATAAAATAGGAGTCTTTGGACTAGTTAAGAGTTTATGAATCAGGCCTGGCCTAGCGGCTAAAGTCCTCGCCTTGAACGCACCAGGATCCCATATGGGTGCTGGTTCTAATCCTGGCAGCTCCACTTCCCATCCAGCTCCCTGCTTGTGGCCTGGGAAAGCAGTCCAGCACGGCCCAAAGCCTTGGGACCCTGCGCCCGTGTGGGAGCCCAGAAGAAGTTCCTGGATCCTGGCTTCAGATCGGCATAGCATCGGCCATTGCGCTCACTTGGGGAGTGAATCATCGGATGGAAGATCTTCCTCTCTGTCTCTTCTCCTCTCTGTATATCTGACTTTCCAATAAATAAATAAATCTTAAAAAAAAATTTTTTTTTTAAGTTTATGAATCTATTCTGTGTTCCAATTCAAACACACAGATTGGTTTTTGTGGCTTTTTTGTTTTAATTTTTAAACAACTGGCAAATGAAACCTTCAAGCTAAAGATCTAATTGCTAACTTTATAGTGATATTGTTTAACATTTTTTTTATAAAGATTTATTTATTTATATTGGGAAGGTAGATTTTACATAATGAAGGAAGGATAGAAAAATCTGTCCGCTGAAGCCATTCTGCATCAAGGAACCAGGAGTTTCATCCGGGCCTCTCATGTGCACAGTGTCCCAAGGCTTTGGGCCATCCTCTACTACTTTCCTGGGCCACAAGCAGGGAGCTGGATGGCAAGTGGAGCATCTGGTATATGAACAAGTGCCATTATGGGATGCTGGCACTTGTAGGCTGAGGATTAGCCAATTGAGTCATTTTGCCAGGTCCAGGATTATATTTTTTGAGAAGTATCTTTTAGAAAAATGTATGTACAGAGACAGATATGAAGTGATTCTTTTGGATTGGGTTTGGTGGGAGATAAAACAGACAAGAGCATTCATGTTTAGATAGTTTGTTACATAATTGCACAATCTCTTCATGTTTAAAGTTTTCTATTGTTTAAAAAAAATTGACTTTCTGCTTTCAAGCAAAACTAAAGGTTATATAATTGCTTCAGTTGTCCTGAATAGCAAAACATTGACTTGTCTGTATTTATACTGAGTCTCTTTCTGCAGATCCCAGTACACCTTTCTCCATTTTTGATGAGTTTCTTCTTTCAGAAAAAAAGAATAAAAGGTTTGCTTTTTTAAAAATGTCTTATAATGTAAATGAGGTTGTGCTGTTGACAAAGCAATAGTAAATGAAGTGGTTTTTTGGTTTGTTTGTTTCTAGTCCTTCTGCAGATCCCCCAAGGGTTTTAACCGAAAGAAGACCGCTTGCAATTCTCAAAACTTCAGACAGCATCACCTCCAATGAAGATGCATCTCCAGATGTTTGTGTAAGTCAATATCAACAAGCTAGTGCATTGTTTTTGTTTTTGTTTTTTAAGGCTTATTTTATCTATTTGAAAGGCAGAATTAGATAAATCTTCCATGCTTTGATTCACTCCCCAAAAGGCCATTAACAATGGTGTGAACTAGGCAGAAACCAGGATCCAAAACTCTAGTCTCCCACATGGGTGGTAGGAACCCAAGCACTTGGACCATCTTCCAGTTTTTCCTGAGTGCATTAATTAGGGAGCTGGATTGCAAGTAGAACAACCAGGACTCAAACTGGTGTTCATAGGGGATGCTAGTGTGAGTCTACAGCCTAATCCACTGCTGCTCAATGCCAACCCAGCCTGGGTGTTTCACTTAAATCTCATTGAAGTTTGGAGTTAAAATTAAAACCATTGGCTTGAACTTAGTATGTGAAAAGAGAGCTAACATCTTTAGTCACCAGAGAAATGCAAATGAAAACCACAATCAAAATCAACTGATACCCACCCACTAAGATGCTGTAATCCAAGATAGACAGTAACAAGTGTTGATCAGTTTGTAGAGAAATTAGAATTTATATGCTGCTGGTGGAAATGAAAAATGGTACAATCACTTGGAAAACAGTTTGGCAGTTTCTTAAAATGTTGTGCAGTGATTACTTCTTGACTCACCATTCCCCCTCATAGATATAGACCTGAGAATTAAAAATGTGTTCATAAAAACCTGGACACAGGGGTGGGTGGTTTGACATATCATGTTAAGCCACCTCCTGCAGCTCGCACATCTTTATGGGTGCCAGTTTGGGTGCTAGCACTTCCATTCCAACTCTTGCTTCTGCAACCAGAAAAGCATCAGATATAGCCTAGGAACTTGGGTCCCAGCACCCATGTGTGAGACTCCTGGCTTTGACCTGGCACAGCTCTGGCTTTGTGGCCACTTGGAAAGCAAACCAGCAGATGGAATATCTCTTCTCTGTCTCTGCCTTTCAGATAAATTTTAAAAATCTTAAATAATGATTTTTAAAAAGAGGTAAAAGAAAAAGAACCTGGACACAGATATTCATAGAAGCATTACTAATGGCAATAGACACAATCTAAATGTTTGTCAGCTGCTGAGGGGATAAAGGTATAGCCATACAGTACAATGTTACATGGCAGCAGAAAGGAATGAAGTTCTGATATAAATTGTAACATGATTAAACCTTGGAAACATTACTCCAGGTGAATGGAGCCATATAGGAAAGACAATGTAATATGATGTCGTTTACATGAAGTATCCAGAGTAGACAAATGTAGATTGGGGGTTTTCAGGGGGTTTTGGGAAAGGGTGATAGAAAATAACTGCTATTAGGTATGGGGTTTCTTTTACGAATGATTATTTTGGAATAATGGTGGTAATGTTTGTAGAACATTGTGAATATTGTAAAAGCAATTAAAATGTATTCTTTAAGAGGGTGCATTTTGTTGTGAATGTTTACCCTAGCAGTTAAGACACCTATATCCCACACCAGAATACTGGGTTCAATATCCAGCTGTGGCCCCAGACTTCACCTTCCTGCCAATGCAGACTTGGGAGGCAACCTAGCCATGCAATTTCTAACCAGATTATAAATATGCCAAGAGGCATTTTTTTTTTAAAGATTTATTTATTTATTGGAAAGTCAGATATACAGAGAGGAGGAGAGACAGAGAGGAAGATCTTCCGTCCGATGATTCACTCCCCAAGTGAGCACAACGGCCGATGCTATGCCGATCCGAAGCCAGGATCCAGGAACTTCTTCCGGGTATCCCACACGGGTACAGGGGCCCAAAGCTATGGGCCGTGCTGGACTGCTTTCCCAGGCCACAAGCAGGGAGCTGGATGGGAAGTGGAGCTGCCAGGATTAGAACCGGCGCCCATATGGGATCCTGGTGCGTTCAAGGCGAGGATTTTAGCCACTAGGCCACGCCACCGGGCCCAATGCCAAGAGGCATTTTTGATGGAAAGTAGTCCGACTCCAATCCAGCTATAAAGAATTAGAATTTACAGGAAAAAAAAGTTCAAGAGTATAATTTGGGCAGTTGTTGCTTTTGGTTTTATTATTGTTTGTTTTTGAGAGAGTGAAAGCTCCCATCTGCTAGCTTACTCCCCAGCAGCCTGCAACGTTTTAGACTGGGCCAGGTCAAGGAGCTGAACTAGAGGCAGAGTAGCCAGGTCTCAAACAGGCACTCATGGGGTGTCCCCGCCTAGAGGCAGCACCTCAAACTTCTATGCCATCAAGCTGGCTCCCCAGTTGTTTGTTTAAATACTTTCCCAGGTAATTCTGAGACAGTTACGCATCAGCTACTATGAAAGGACAATGATGCAAAAGAGTAATTGTTTTCTGTGTTCTAACAGATTGCATTTGGACACCATAGTTATAGGGTCAGCTGTTTACGTGAATTTTTATAGGGAAGGGGTATCTGGAGCCTGCAGCCTTGTCATCCCCATACAGGTGCTGACTTACCTCCCAGCTGCTCCACCTCCTATTCCATCTCTGCTTGTGGCCTGGGACAGCACCAGGAGATGGCTAAAGTCCTTGGGCCCCTGCACCCACTTGGGAGATTCAAAAGTAGCTCCTGGCTCCTGGCTTTGAATTGACTCAGCTCTGACTGTTGAAGCCATTTGGAGGGTGAATCAGTAGATGAAAGAGCTCTCTCTAGCTCCCCTTCTCTATAACTGCGTTTCAAATAAAAATAAAATTATATAATTAAAAAAAAAAGATTTACAGAGAAAGAGAAGGATCATCCGTTCACTGGTTCTCTCCAAATGACGGCAGAGACCATAGCTAGGAAAGTCTGGAGCTTCCTTTGGGTCTCCGCAAGGGGATGGGCCCTAAGACTTGAGCCATCTTCAGTTGTTTTCTCAGGCACACCATTATGTAGCTGGATCAAAAATGCAGTAGCCAGGACTTGAACTGGCTCCAATATGAGATGCTGACATTGCAGATGGAGGTTTAACTTACTATACCATGTGCCAGCACCGTCATATGAATTTGAGTAATAGGTAACTACCAGAATTTTTATCCCCTAAAAAAAAAATCATTTAAAATGTCTAAATTAGCATTCAGCATGATAGTCTCGTGGCTAAACTGCTCACCTTGCATCTGCCAGGATCCATGTGGGAACCGGTTTGTATCCCAGCTGCTCTACTTCACTGTGGCCTACTTGTGGCCTGGGAAAGTAATGGAGAATGGACCAGTGCTATGGGACTCTGCACCCAAGTGGAAGACCCAGAAGAAGCTCCTAGCTCCTGGCTTTGGATTGGCTCAGCTCCAGCCAACTCTTGTAGCCACCTGGGGAGTGAACCAGTGGATGGAAGATCTTTCTCTCTGTATCTCATTCTCTCTGTGGAGCTAACTTTCAAACAACAACAAAAAGAATCTATTTTTTGAAAAAAGAAAGTCTAAATTAATAAGACTTTAAGTGGTAGTTACATAAATACACATTTAGCTTTAGACATCTGTTTTGCTTTAATCTTCTATTTTTTAGTTACATTTGTTTCTCCTAGATGTGCCTCCCACTTCTACTTACTAATATTGAGTCAGAAATTCAAATTAAATGTCAAATTTTAATGATCTATAAAAATGAATATCTAGTATACCTGATGGTTAAGTGAAATAGGCACTTTATACTGGAGCAGAATAGAATACATTGCCATAAATTCACTTACTTTAGAACTCCCATTTTAAATGCATAGGAGGTACTTGGCACACAGCTTCCTGTGTATATATGGTAACAGCTGTTGTCTTTGGAAACAGGAATAGGGTGGAATTGGGAGGTGTGTAGGAGGGAGACCTTTTATTATATAGCCTTTTAAACTGGTTGACTAATTAAAATCATGTACATGTATTACTTTTAAAGATAAATGCACATTTTAAATGTGCCTAACAATGTTAGATTAGGTAACAGCATTTTAAATGAATTTTTGTGTGTGCATTCTCAAAAAAATGTGTTTTCATGATTTTCTATCGTAATTATGATTAAACCTTAAGAAATAAAATTAAGTGGGCCAGGCACAATGGCCTAATGGCTAAATCCTTGCCTGGCAACTGCCAGGATCCCATATGGGTACTGGTTCATGTCCTGGAGGCCCCACCCACTTCCCATCCAGCTCCCTGCTTGTGGCCTGCAAAAGCAGTGGAGAATGGCTCAAAGCCTTAGGACTCTGTGCCAGGGTGGGAGACCTGGAAGAATCTCCTGGCTCCTGAATTCAGATTGGTTCAGCTCTGGTTGCTGTGGTCACTTGGGGAGTGAACCAGTGAATGAAAGATCTTTCTCTCTGTCTCTCCTACTTCTCTCCATAAGTCTGCCTTTAAATAAAAATAAATGTTTAAAAAGAAAAAACAATGAACTATGTGCCATAGAAAGACTTCCAGAGAATAAAAGATTATCAAAGGGCCCAGTGTGGTAGCCTAGCAGCTTAAGTCCTCACTTTACACTCGCCAGGATCCCATATAGGCACCAGTTCTAATCCCTGCAGCCCCGCTTCCCATCCAGCTCCCTGCTTGTTGCCTGGGAAAACAGTTGAGGACAGCTCAAAGCCTTGGGACCCTGCACCACCTTGGGAGTCCTACAAGAGGCTCTTGGCTCTTGGCTTCGGATTGGTTCAGCTCCAGCTATTGCAGCTGATTAGGGAGTGACTCATCGGACAGATCTTCCTCTCTGTGTCTCCTCTCTGTATATCTGACTCCAATAAAAATGAAATAAATCTTTAAAAATTAATAAGCTGATCAAAAATTTTGAAATCATTCATTAATTTGAAAGTGTTACAGAGAAAGGGAAAGAGAGAAATCTTCCTTATACTGATGAACTCACCAGCTGGCCACAGTCACTGAGGCTGGGAACCCAGAACCCCACCTAGGTCTCCCATATGGGTGGATAATGGGGCCCTAAGCGTTTTGTTTGACCTCTGCTGCTTTTCCAAGCACATTTATCAGGGAGCTAGATCAGTCGCAGAGCAGTCAGAATGCTGGCATAACAGGTAGTGACTTAACTTGTCCTATGCCAGGACAGCCCTTATCAGAATGTTTTCTTAGTGAAAGCCAGAATAAAATAGTATTAGTGCTTTAATTCTTTTTATGTATTAAAATTTATTTATGGGCCTGGACTAACAGCTCAGTAGCTAAATCCTTGTGTTGCAACGGCTGGAATCCCATATGGGTGCCAGTTCATATCCTAGCTGCTTTACTGTCCATCCAGCTTTCTATTTGTGGCCTGGAAAAGTAATAGAAGATGGCCCAAAGTCTTGGAACCCTACTTGTGCATGGGAGATCCAAAAGAAGCTCCTGGCTTCAAATCACCTCAACTCGACTATCTGGGGAGTGAACCAGTGGATCCAGGTCTCCCACATGGGTAGTGACCTCGGGGCTTGGGCCTTCTTTTATTTCTTTCCCAGGGGATTTATTTGGAAGGGGAGCTGCCAGGACTTACACTAGCACAAATAGGGGATGCCCACATCACAGGCAGTGCCTTCACCTACTATGCCAAAGCCCTGACCCCAAGTGCTTTAATTCTTAAGAGGACTCCATTGGGGTAGGAGAAAATTATTATCTAATATGTTTCTTGTGTGAAGAATTATATGCTTATTAAAATTGCCTTTTTTCCATAGATTATACTACTACAATAATGTACTGCTACAATAATGCCTGCTGTCTACGTTAAAGACCATTCATATGTTTGTTAAATTGCTTTATCTAAACTTTACATGGTTTTTATCTCAGGATGAATTTACAGGAATTGAGCCTCTGAGCGAGGATGCCATTATCACAGGCTTCAGGAATGTCACTATTTGTCCCAACCCAGAAGACACTTGTGACTTCGCTAGAGCAGCCCGCTTTGTATCCACTCCCTTTCATGAGATAGTGTCCCTGAAGGATCTGCCCTCAGACCCTGAGAGACTGCTGCAGGAGGAGGAGCTGGATGCGAAGACCACTGAGGACCAACCGACCGCCTGTGGCACCATCTATAATCCCCCTCTCAGCATCAAGAAGCTGAGGTGATTAGCAGTGAGAACTGTCACTTCCCAGGTTGTCTGCTGTGATTCTGTGTGTGTTTGGAGTCATCAGTTGTCACATCTTATCTGTCCATCCGGGGCTGAGCTAAGTGTTCTATGTGCGAGTAGGGCTACCGCTCATAAAATATGTGACTGTGAGATCCAGGAGGCTCATGGTGATCCTTTAGATTGTTTACCTGTTTGAAAGGTGGAGAGACACAACCACAGACAGACCAGTGGAGACATTGCATTGGCTGGGTAACTGTCCAAATGTGTGTAGCAGTCAAGGTCAGACCAAGTCAAAGCCAGGAGCCTGGAGCGCAGTCCAGGTGATGGGGCTGCTTTAATTTGAACTGTTGTGTGCTTCTCCCAAGGCATGCATTAACAGGAAGCTGGACTTGAAAGTGGAGCCTGTATTCAAACCCAGCCTCTCTTTCACGACATGTGGGTATCCCAGTAGCATTGTTTATAGTACACTTGAGGAAAAACTTTTTTTTAAAAGATTTATTTTCATTGAGAAATCTGATATATGGAGGAGAGACAGAAAGGAAGATCTTCTGGCTGATGATTTTACTTCCTAAGCAGATACAACAGCCAGAGCTGCACTGATCTGAAGCCAGGAGCCTGGAGCCTCTTTCAAGTCTCCCAATTGGGTACAGGGTCCCAAGGCTTTAAGCCGTCTTCCACTGCTTTCCCAGGCCACAAGGATTAGAACCGGCACTCATGTAAGAGCCCAGTATGTGCAAGTCGAGGACTTAAACTGCTAGGCTAATGTGTTGGGCCCACATTTGAGGAAATTTGACCAAGAATATATAATTGGGAAAAAGGAAGTATTTATTTTGTTGTAATAGGTAGGTGTGGGTGTTTGGCACAGTGCTTAAGATGGCACTTGAATCATCCACAGTCCATGTCCTAGTGCCTGGATGTGAGTTCGGGCTCTGCTTCCAACTCCAGTTTCCTGCAAATGCACATCTGTTAGACAGCAGGTGATGGCTCTAGTCCTGAGGACCCTACCACGAAGAGGGAGACCCAGGATAAGTTCCAGAGCCCTGGCGTAGGCTTGGCCCAGCCCACATAGTGCAGGCATTTGGAGAAGGAGCCAGCAGATAGAAGGTCTCTGTCTTTCTGCTTTTCAAATAAAAGGAACCTAAATAATTTGTAAAAAAAATACAAAGGCAGGGCCTGGTGTGGTAGCCTAGTGGCCTAAATCCTCGCCTTACATACACTAGAATCGCACATAAGTGCTGGTTCTAATCCCAGCTGCTCCACCTCCCATCCAGCTCCCTGCTTGTGGCCTAGGAAAGCAGTTGAGGACAGCCTTGGGACCGTGTGATCCTTGCTGTAGCAGTTACAGCCTCTTTGGGGCATGAATCATTGGATGGAAGATCTTCTCTGTCTCTACTCCACTCTGTATATCTGACTTTGTAATAAAAATAAATAAATCTTTAAAAAAAAAACACACAAAGCAGTACAAAAAATGTTTAAATACTAAAAATAAACAATAGCAGAGTAGCTGCTGTGGATTTAAGTAAGAAATTAGAGATATATTAATGAGAAACTACCTTTTGATAGAGAAGTGTAAATGAACTAGGGAATGGATATAAGAGAATGACAGCAAGATCTAAGGATTAAGCCTTGTAATTGATTTGTATTTTAAAACTTTAAAATAATGGTCCTGGGACCATTGTGGCATAAAGCCACCCTGTCATTCCATGTGGGTGCTGTTTCAAGTCCTGCCTGCTTCACTTTAGCTAATGTGCTTGGAAGAATGGAACTTGATCCAAGACTTCAGGCCCCTAATCACGTGGCAGACCCAGGTGAAGCTCTTGGCTCCTGGCTTTGTCCTGGCCCAGGCCTAAATGATGTAGCCATTTGGGGAATGAACCAGTAGATGGATGACTTATTTATTAAGTTTTATTTGTTTTCATTAGAAAGGCAGATTTACAGGGAAGGAGAGACAGAGATCTTCCATCTGCTTGTTCACTCCCCAAATGGCCAGAGCTATGATGATCTGACGTCAGGAACTTCTTCCCTGTCTCCTACCTGATCACAGGGTCGCAAGGACTTGTGCTATCCTCCATTGCTTCCCCAGGTCTCAAGCAGAGAGCTGGATTGCAAGTGCAACAGCTGGGACATGAACTGGTGTCTGTGTGGGATGCTGCGCTTAGAGGTCGAAGATTATCCAGTTGAGCCATTGTGCCAGTCTCAATAGATCTCTTTCTGTACATCTTAGCCCCTCTCTATTACTACAACTTCAAATAAATAACTCTTTTTTTAAAAAAAAATTGGCTAGTTTTAGGAATATTGTTTAACTTGCCAACTTACACTTTTAAAACTACATCCTGTAACATTTTCCATGTCACACTTTTATTCACGTTTGCTAGCATGGATTCCCCTTTGGCTCTGACTTTTTTTTTTTTTTAAAAACATACAGTGTGCTTCTATCTACTTGTTCATGCCCAAATACTCAGAGTAGCTAGCTGCCAGGAGCTGCATCTGAAGCGAGCTGGCAGGACTTGAACTGGTGCTCTGACTTGAGATGCAGAAGTCCCAAGCAGCGGCTTAACTTGGTAGCCACATCATCTATCCCGCCCTTTCCCTTGTGGAGTAAAATCCAGAGGACCGGTAATGAGGCAGAAAGTTGGTGTTACTGTTAAGTCAATAGCATATAATAGATGGGTAAGAGGAGGCATTTACTGTAGATTAGTAGGTCAATCATACATCTAGAAACGTTTAATTCTGGGCATTGCTTGTCCATAGAGGAAGTTACCTAGATTCTGATTATGACGCATTTATGAACTATACAAATAAGACAAAAAATATAACTACAAATGACAAACTGTAGAGTTTTTTTAAGATAATTTTTAAAATATATATTTTTATTTTTTAATTGCAAAGTCAGATATACAGAGAGGAGGAGAGACAGAGGAAGATCTTCCATCTGATGATTCATTCCCCAAGTGACTACAACGGCCGGTGCTGCACTGATCTGAAGCCAGGAGCCAGGAACCTCCTCCAGGTCTCCCACACAGGCGCAGGGTCCCAAGGCTTTGGACTGTTCTTGACTGCTTTCCCAGGCCACAAGCAGGGAGCTGGATGGAAAGTGGAGTAACCGGGATTAGAACCAGCGTCTGTATGGGATCCTGGCATGTTCAAGGCGAGAACTTTAGCCACTAGGCCACCACGCCCGGCCCTTAAAAATAATTTTTTGAAAGGCACAGTTGGAGAGAGAGGAGCAAGCACTATTTTCCATCTGCTTGTTTATTCCCCAGATGGCCACAATGACCCAGACTGGACCAGGCTGAAGCCAGGGGACAAGAGCTTCTTCCAGGGTCTCCCATGTGACTGCAAGGTCCCAATCACTTGGGCCATCTCCCACTGCTTCCCTAGGTACATCAGCAGTGAACTGTATCAGAAGTGCAATAATTGGAACTTGAACCAGCATCTGTACAGGATACAGACACTGTAGGCTTCAGGCTTAACCCCCTATTACTCCCTTGTGCTGGCCCTATACTATTTTGGTGTAAGTTTTGTTTTAAAAATGAGTGTAGGGCCTGTGCAGTAGATTAGCAGCCAAAGTCCTTGCCTTAAACCTGTTGGGATCCCATATGGGCACTGGTTCTAATCCTAGAAGCCCCACTTCCTATCCAGCTCCCTGCTTGTAGCCTGGGAAAGCGGTGGAGGATGGCCCAGAGCCTTGGGATCCCACACCCGTGTGGGAGACCTGGAAGAGGCTCCTGGCTTCTAAATGGATCAGCTCCGCTCCGGCCATTGCGGGTGCTTGGGGAGTGAATCATCAGATCTTCCTTTCTGTCTTTCCTCTTCTTTATATATCTGCTTTTCCAATGAATATAAATAAATCTTGACCAAAAAAATAAGAGTATAACATGATGTTTGTGAATTAGAACTTTATAAAGTTGTAACAAAGGTAAGTTGATATACATTGTCTCGATGAGAACTGACGCTCTTGTACTTGTGGCTCTTTCAGCCCGATCATTGAAGACAGTGGTGAAGCCACACACTCCTCTGGCTTCTCTGGATCTTCGGCCTCCGTTACAAGCACGTCTTCTATCAAATGCCTCCAAATCCCCAAGAAACTGGAGCTGACCTGTGATGCAGGTAGAGCCTGTCACATGGACTCCTGGTCCCGCGCCTCAGGAGCACTTACTGAGCCCAGCAAACCCGGCTGGTTAATTTTCTTCCCTAGAGAAGGTCCCAGTACTAACTGAGCACAGTCTCATCGAGACCTGAGAACAGGGCATATAGTCGCATTCGCAGTATTGGTTGCGTCCCTTTCTCCCCCATCCCCTGTTCTGTTACAGAATCCATCTTAAGTGTTCATTTTTTTTAGCTGATTTTTTTCCTCCTCTTCCACCTCTCCCACTCCACCAGAAAATCCCATACAGTCACCCTGGTGTTCACAGTACCGGACCCAACTACTAAAATGCCTGCCAGAGTTAAGTACTTCAGACTTGTCCATAGAAGACAGACCTATGCCTCATTTGGAAATAGATAAGGAAATTGAACTAGGTAAGTATCACTGAGTGTCTGTCCTTTAGTATGTAACAGTGTATGAGAGCATATAGAAGTAAATGATTATTTTTAGGCTAGCACTGTGTCTCTAGATTTGTGAGAAATAATAATTTAGAAATTGACATTGATAACTTCATGGCCCAATAGCAGTAAGAATTATGTCTTTTCCTCTTCCAAGTTTTAGCATGTGATTTTGGAAAGTATTACAGGTGCTACTAACTGGCAAATATCCCAATGCTTAAGCCCTTAGGCCAGGAGATAAAGGGCAGAGGACTGTGTATGTTCATAGTGGTCTTTAAACAGAATCAACCCTTCTCAACAGGTAACGAGGATTATTGCATTAAACAAGAATACCTAATGTGTGAAGATTATAAATTATTTTGGGTGGCACGAAGAAACTCCACAGAATTAACCATAATAAAGGTGGGACTGATTCTTTGCCATTTCAATTGCTTTGTAAGTACAAGTTGAAGCAGTCACTCTAACACCCACAGAACCATCAGATCATTAAGTAATTAACTTCCTTATGTAAAACCTTCATGCAGTCAGTCTTAATGATGGGCCAGGAAAAGATATCCAAAATGACAGGAGGCGGGTGTTGTAGAGCCCACAGGTTAAACCATCGCCCGAGATGCCAGCATGCCAGTTACAGTACCTGGTTCAAGTCTTGACTGCTCCACAATTCCAGTCCTATTTGCCGCTACTGCTTCTCCTGGAAGGCAGCAGATTATGGCACAAATGCTTGAGTCTCTGCCATCTGTGTGGGAGACCCAGCTAGAGGCTGGACTCCTGGCTTCAGCCTGACCCAGACCTGGACACTTGGGCGTCTCAGATGGAAGATCTCTGTGTCTCCCTGTCTCTATCACTGCATCTTTCAACTTGAAGAAAATAAAAACATTTTCTAAGTGCAAGCCTATTATGTAATGCTCAGCTTATCCTTTTGAGGAAATCTCTTCAGAAGCTTTCTAGCCTGCTCCAGTCTGAACAGTTTATACAGGCATGTCCCACGCTTAGTGTCGCCTGCACATTTCTGTTCTTCCTGAGCACTCACATTGCTTTGTTTTTCTTTGGATGTGTAGTTTCTTAGATTTCATTTGTTCTCTTGGTTTAATCCCTCATAATTTGGAGGAACACATATTTAGTAGCTTCCTTGAAAGGGATGGTACGTAATTTTTTTTAAATATTGTAGATCATAAAATTCCTTATTTTGCATCTTTACTTGATTGATAATTTGACTTCATAAAGAATTGTGACCTAGGTTTTTTTCCTCAATTTTGAGGAATTCCATTATCTTTCACCTTTTCATATTACTTTTGGGATTTTTTTTCCATTCAGTTTTTTAAATCAGAAGGAAACTATTTTCCCTTCTCTGTGGGTGCTTCTAGCACCGTATGCTTGTCCACAGCGTTCTGAAACTTCACAGTTACATGTTTTGGTATGTATGTTTTACCACCTGTGGCTAGGCATTCAGTGGCTGCTATAATCTGGAAGTCCTTGTAATTCTAAGCGTTTTATAAGTAGTGCTTCTAAGAAATTCCGGTCAGACCTGTCTTAGTGTCCTCTATTCTTCCCATCTGTGATTCCTTCCCTTGAGATAGGGGCTCTCAGGCTGCAGCCCTGGAAGCTTTTCTTTTATTTGTTTTCCCCAACTTGTTGTTGTACCTTGTGGCTTACCCTCATCCCGTGTTAGCCAAGTAGGATTGCTTTCCAGGAATCCATCCCTACCTTGCCCTTCCCAGGAGACTAGGATCAGCGAGTGCTGAAATTCTTTAGGTAAAGTGGCACAGTACTTGCATATAACCTGTGCACAGCCACCCATATACTTTATAAGTCCCACACGCCACAGATCGCACCGCTGTGACAGCCTGGACACTTTAAATCATCTCCAGATTGCCTCTAGTACAAAGTCCAATGCATTTACTTGGCACATGGTTATGCTGTATTGGTTTGGAAACAATGGCAAGAAATCTCTGGACGTTTTAAGCCACAGACACAGTTTTTCCCCAAATGGTTTTGATCTGAGGTTTGATTCAACCTACAGTTAGAAAAGGTCCACTGTATTTTATAAGCTTGATTTTCTTTTTACTGGGATGTTTCGTTTCTTCCATCTGTACTTGATTTGTAAAAGCTCTTCTTCTCAAAGCTTTCTTAGCAGCATCCCCCTTTTCATTTCAGAGGTGGACTACTGTCCTCTCTCTGAGATGTTGAGATGCTGGAGGGTGTTTCCTCCCTGCATCATCTCTTCTCTTGTTTGTTTTTGTCCGTTTTGACTCTAACCTTCATACTGGAAGCTTTCTTTGAAGCTGGTTTTCTGTTCATATTTAAATATGGGGCACTAAAAGCTAACGGAAGGTTCTGTGTGTTTGCTGCCCACCTCAGTGTAGGATGATGGAGCTTGGATGTTTTATTGGAAAACCCCCAAATCTTTAAATTTTTTTCTCTTGAGCTGATTGGATCTCTCCAGAAAGACTTTTAATTTCCTGCCTAGATCATCCAGGCCTAGCTGCTTGCTCTCCAAGAGCCAAGTGAGGAAATTAGTATGAAGAATGGAAGGGCCAGGAGATGGATGCCTCTGACCATTTGCTATATCACTGTTTGATGTTTTCTGTATTCCAGGTTTCAGTGGTACCTGATGTCCTGTCATCAAGAGCCCAGCTCTTTAATCCTTCCTAGGGGATAGCCTGGGTCTTCAGGGGTGGGACAGGGTGGGCTACAGAGATGGAATGCAAAATCTGGATCTCACTTCCTTTGAATTGGGGCCCTTCTATAATGCTTTCATTCTCAGCCCTACTTGCACAAGTAATTGGGGCCACCATTCACTTGCTGCCAGGAATGGGTCTTGTCATCTAAACGTGGTTGCCTTTCAGTCTTCTCCACAGCTGGAATTCACCTTTCTTGTGTCTTCTAAGATGATTGCCTTTTACTCTCACTCCAGCTTCCAAAATGTTGTCTTCATGTCCTTTATTGTAGATATATGCCTTTTAAAACATCCCTTCACTGTTCTGTTGGGATATCAGAAGGGCTGGTGGAGACATGTGTTTTCAATCTGACAACCATACCACAGAGCCTAATTGCTTTTGTTTTTTTTAAATATTATAGGTATCATCTCAGCCTGTTGCATGGGACCTGTATATCAACCTCAAGTTAAAGGAACGATTAAATGAGGAGTGTGATCCTTTGTGCAGCTGTTACCAGTACCAAGATGGCTGTATTGTTTGGTACCAATATATAAACTGCGCCACGCTGCAGGTTTGTAATCATGCTAAAAACACGGAACCTCACATGCTTGGGTAAAAGGACTTAGGCTCCGTTTAGCAAAGGAATTGTACACAACATTCCTGTCAATCTTCTTAAAATAGGATTAAGTTACAAGTTAAAAGCATTAATCATTTTCTTCTCCCAAGTTATTTTGACCATGGATCTCTAACTTTTGGACACTTTTCAAACATAAACCTGAATAGACATGTTTGTACCATAAACTTTAGAACCTAGTCCTCCAATTATGATAAATATTAGCTCATAGCCACTTATTTTATCTGTGCCACCACCCTGGCTTGTTTTAAACCCAGACACATAGGGTTTAAAACAAGGGTCTTATTCTTTGTTCTGTTCTTTTGTTTGTTTTTCATAAGCAGAAACCCCGTAGCCACAAAAGGTTGCATTTCAGTACACAAGAATTTGGGGGAGCATTGTTTGCCTCTGTGCGTAGATAGAGAAGATTGGGATAAGGATTTTTCTTTCTTTTTTTTTTTTTCTAAGATTCATTTCTCTCACTTGAAAGCATTACAGAGGGAGGGGAAGATAGAAAGAAGTTTTCCATACTATGCTTTATTCCCCAAATGGATATAACCACCAGAGCTGGGCCAGTCCAAAGCTGGGAACCAGGAGCTGCTTCTGGGTCTCCCATGTAGGTACAAGTGCCTAAGGTTTTGGGGAATCCTCCACTTCTTTCCCAGGCCATAGAGGGAGCTGGATTAGAAGTAGAGCAGCCAGGACTAGAACTGGAGCCCACAGGGATTCTGGCACTGCAGGCAGAGGACTATGCCACCACTGCCTGGCTGCTCTTTGTTACGTTCTTTACGGGGATCTGGGAGTCAGCAGTGTGGCACAGCACGTTAGGCTACCATCTTTAACATCAGCCTCATATATCAGCATAAATTTCAGTCCAGACTACTCTGCTCAATCAGTGCTCCTCGGAAGGCAGTGCATGGGCCCGCTCAAGTGTGTGGGCCCAGCTCTCAGAGGACGACCAGGATGAACTTCCTCGATCCTTGGCTGTTACAGCCATTTGGGAGATAAAATCCCTCTTTCCAAGTTACCTATCTGTCTATCTCTATTTCTCTCTCTCTCTTTCTCTCTGACATTCTTTCAAATAAAAAAATAAATTGAGAAAATTTTGCTGCAGATTTTTATAGTAATCTGAACTCTCTAAAGCAGCTGGAATAAGGTATTGTAAACATTCACAGGGCGCCTGGCACTGGCCACGCTCACCCTTGGTGCGTTTCATTCACTGTCTCACTAACTCCTTATATGTTTCATTCACTGTTACACTAACTCATCATAACTAGTCCTAAGAGAGAGCGTGGTGTTGCTAGCTCCGCAGCGGAGGCCCAGGTGCCCTGGGAAAGAGCAGAGCCGCAGCTCCTGAGGCACTGGCTGGGCGGCAGCTGAGCTCCCCTCCCCTGTGCTTCCGGCTCCAGGATCTCCTCCAGCACCGCGACCTGATCACCCATGAGATGACAGTGTTGATCGTTTACAACCTCCTGGCCATCGTGGAAAAGCTGCACCAAGCAGAGATAGTCCACGGGGACCTGAGTCCAATGAGTCTGATCCTCAGAAACAGGTTGGTCCTTTTCAGTCTGTTGTGATTCTGTCAACTCCTTCTCAAAATGTCTTGCTGGATTTGATGCCCTTTGATAAATGCCATGTTTTTATTTAATTTTTTTTAAGATTTATTTACTCTTATTGGAAAGACAGAGAGGAGAGACATATCCTCCATCTTGGCTTACTCTCCAAATTGCCCCAGTGGGCCAGGGCTTAGTTGATCTGAAGCCAGGAGCCAGGAGCTTCCTCCGGGTCTCCCACATGGGTACATGGGCCCAAGGCTTTGGGCTGTCCTCCACTGCTTCTCTAGGCCACAAGCAGGGAGCTGGATGGGAAGTGGAGCAGCTGGGACACAAACCAGTGCCCATATGGGATAGAGGTTGCAGATAAAGGATTAGCCTGGTGAGCCACTGTGCTAGCCCCAAATGCTATGTCAGTAAACAGATTAAGAGAAGATTTGCTCTTATTTTTTAAATGTGGTGTCAAAAGTCAATAATCAGGGACCTGGTTATTGCCAATAACTATGGCATAATAGGTTAAACCTCCATCTGTGATACAGGCATCCCATAGGGACACCAGTTTGAGTCCTGGCTTTTTCAGTTTCTATCCAGCTCCCTGCTAATGCATTTGGGAAAGCAACAAATCCCATTGTGGGATACTAACACCACACATGGAAACTTAGCAAATTAAATTTTCTTTTAAAGATTTATTTATTTTTATTGGAAAGGCAGATATGCAGAGAGGAAGATCTTCCATCCGATGGTTCACTTCCCAAGTGACCGCAACAGCCGGTGCTGCACCGATCCAAAGCCAGGAGCCAGGAGTTCTTCTGGGACTCCCACGTGGGTGCAGCGTCCCAAAGCTTTGGGCCATCCTCGACTGCTTTCCCAGGCCACAAGCAAGGAGCTGGATGGGAAGCAGGGCTGCCGGAATTAGAACCAGTGACATATGGGACCCCAGCGCGTTCAAGGGGAGGACTTTAACCACTACCCTATCACACCAGGACCAGCAGATTAATTTTTAAGTTAATAATTTGTGTGGGCCACTAATGATGTTATATTCAAATGGGAAAAAAAAAATTCCCCATGCCTACTGTAAACTGTAGCCAGCATGGACATGAAAAGAGCCCTCAGTGTATTTTGGCAACAAAGACCCAACGGCCAAGGGAATCCCATCTTCTCTGCCAATGGAGCATCCACCTTTCCCAGGCACCGGTTCACCATGTTTCTCCTCCAGCACGTGTAGAACGACACCAGTCTTGGTGCAGGCTTGGTGCATTACAGGATGCTTTTACACCCCTGCTTCCCCAAAACCCCACCCCCGCAAATTCAGTGCAGGGAACATTCGTCCAGCCTTTGTAACCAGCAGCAAAGCCCCACAGTGAGCAGCAGCAGTTCAGAAGGCAGCGCTAGATTTCTCACGGCTGTGGACACTAGAAGCAGAGGGATTTTCTAGGCCTTTTGGAATTGAGCATCCATGGTCTGCATGTTCAGATAGGAAGCCACCAGAGACTCCAGGGAAGGATCCAGTGTTAACTAGATGTTTTACTTAGTCCTAGCATGTCAGATTTGAGAGAAAATTTCACATAGGTTCACAAGGAATTAATAGCCAGAAAGAATGTTTTGAAAACAATTCAGTTTCTCTATAATTTTTTTTTAAGGGAGGAGAATAAGATCCCAAAAAGCAAAAAGTCTTTTTTGCCTGTGAACACACAAGTTGTAGCCGATGAGGAATGCAGGACCTACACTCATACAGACAGTTTGTGGGAACTATTTGAGAAGGTACCATGAGATAATCCATTCTTTCAGATAAACAGTTCCTTTGTGCCCTTGGTGATAAGCTTTATTGCAGACTAGGTGAACCCAAGGGCAAAATAGTTGATAGTGAATTAGTGTTCAGAAGTATTTTAGAAACCAAGACTTGAAATTACAAATTGGATAGTGTTACGGGGTACAAGCGAGATCACACCAGACATGTCTAAGATTTATTAAGGAGTCTTTATTAACCAAGCTTGGTGATAACACAGCCCACTAGAAATTGCCAATCACAGGTACATATGGCAATCAATCAATCATAATCCGATCAATCATAACCCCGAGGAACAAATAGTCATTACTCTTAAGTCCAGTCCATCCATTAAGCTGAAGAGCTATGTCCAGCTTTCACAACAATACAAGTTATCCTGAAAGGCATGCAGTGAATAACCCAGACACACCTACAAAGCTGCATTCACCTCTCCCTGGCTTCTCTGCCCACACTCTACTACTGCTAGGCCTGCCTTCTCCCCGAACTCCTGACAGCACACAAACCAGAAATACAAAGTTTCTTAATATTGCTATCTTCATTGTCTACCTAAGCAGTAAACAGAGTGAGGAGTACAGACACACCATATTCAGGGGATTACCTGTTCTGGGGAGGCCAGAGCAATGGGAAGCACTGACCAGGCACTTGATCAAGAGAGCGAGCCCCTCCTTACCATGAACCTTTATAGGGGCTTGTGAGGGGAATGGTTGCACAACAATGCAATACTGCCCCTCTCAGATGATAGGTGAGAGTTGCACATCAGTAGGAGCGAACACCTAGGTGGTTGGGGACGGTGGCTGAGGGTTTCTTAAGGATAGAATTAACATTCCATTGCTGTTAGGCCCCACCTTCAGGATGGAGGGTAGGGGACACAACCACATTCTGTTTGCCCACTGTCAAGGGGTGCTGGCTACCACTGGCTGCACCCCCTAACAATAGAATATGGTGCTAGATTAATAAAAACAGCAAGTTTTATAATATGGATAACACCTTACCATGCCCAGCCTTGTTGTATTTTTCATTAAATTCTAGAAGGTACACCATCTGTAATAGCCTAACTCACCTATAAAACTCAATTTCCTCCATCATAATCTTGGTTAGGACATGTTAATCCTTGCTAGTGTATTCGTCAGTGTGGAAAGTCCAGTTCAGAAACCTACACTCTATTTCTGGGCTTAACTGTTTTTCTGGGGGGCGGGGGAGGGGTTAAGGCTGGAATCGGAATCTGAATGTGTTGGGATAGCCAAGCCCTGTGGTTTGGGTACTGTCCCAGCTCTGCTCTTACAGGTGCATTTTCATAACGTACCACTGGAGGGAGCTATTGGCATAGCTAAGACATACCTTCAGTGCTTGCTTTTTTACTCTAAAAGACACAGCTTCTCATGACCTGTTTTTATTATCTCTTTCTCTTTAATCTGGACTCAGAATCCACGATCCTTATGATATCAATCAGAATAGTCAAGCTTTGAAGATAGTGGACTTTTCCTACAGTGTGGATCTTAAGGTACAACCCGACAGTTTTGCCCTCAGTGGGTTTCGGACTGCACACATCCTGGAAGAACCAAAGGTCCTGGCCAGCTGTTCCTCTCCTTACCAGGTAAGTGTGAGATAAGTCTGGGCAAAGATGGATTCTCTCCATCTCTTCCTTAGCCACATAAGCTGTGGACATGAGTGTTTGCAGCTGCTAACTCTCTCAGAATAGATGACCTAGTTTTCAGACACTGTATCACCGTGTCAAGCAAAATGTACTATTTTCCTGTTCAGCACTGAAGAATACACATATACATGTGTAAAAGCACATGGCTCCCCCAGTCAGCTTGCCCACGTGGCAGGGCCATTCCTGCCACTTCGCATCTGTGTGGGCTTCCTGAGACATTGTCTGAGCTCTGTAAGAGGCTGGTGGGCACTGCTCTTTGTGCATCAGGATGTTAGGAGGGGCCAATGCAATGTGCGTGAAGATGATTGAGACTTGTTCTGCTGGTGACATTTCATGCAGACATCCCTTTGGACCTAGCACTAGAGGTAAGCCATTTACTGACTACCTGTCCAGGGTGCCACGTTTGCATCATAGCTGAAGTCCCTGCAGTCAGGAGGTATACAGTAGTCCAGACATGCTTGCTTTAGTTCCCAAGGATAATTCCTAGAGTTGGCTGATCCCATCCTTGGAGCACTTCTCCACTAGTGCAGGTGCGCTAAGTTGTATGCCATAAACTAAACATCATGAAGCCCTACACTGCCTTTCCTCTTCCCGCATAGGTAAGCTGCCGTGAGAGACGGAGATTGCTTTTGGCTGATGGTGTGTTTTGTGATTTCAGGTAGACCTGTTGGGTATTGCAGATTTAGCACATTTACTGTTGTTCCAGAACCACCTGCAGGTCTGCTGGGATGGGTCCAACTGGAAACTTAGCCAAAGTGTTTCTGAGTAAGTATCAGTGACTTCAGGGGTCTTTGCCAGTCCAGAATCCCCCTCTTCTTCATGGGTGCTCCCTCTGCTGGGGAGCTTCTGTTTTCCAGTCCCAGGGCCATGATTCCAGCCTCTGCCCCAGTACATGGAATGTCAGAAGAACAGCTCATGTAGGCTTCAGGCTGCTCTGAACCGACACACTACAGTGCAAGTGTGGAAGTGCCTAAGTTTAGAAATGTTAGCAGGAACACTTCCTGAGAATAATTTCCTTATCAATTGGTGTTATTCTCAAACCCCTTTTTAATAGATTTTGTTATCCAAAATGAGTAAGCGTTGTTTGGAGAGAACTTTCTGCATTACATACTCATCAGAGGCTGTTATTTTTTAACAAGCATGTAAAATCAAACTAGAGATCAAAATATCTTGCTGAAAAAGTAAATGACCTCCTCTTAGTAAGAGCTGTTTGGTCTCAGAACTCCCCCAAGCCTGCCCACAAAACTAAGAATCAAACGTTCCAGATCAGCTTAGCATTGCTAATAGCTTATACTATAACTTATCATTTTATGACTTTTTGATTTCAAAAAAGATTTTGGTGTTGAAAATTTGATGCTTCTTCTCCATTTTATCTTCCAAATTACAGAGTTGTGTTTTTGTTTTTGTTTTTGTTTTATTCATTCAAAATGCCATGTTTATTTGACATGTATTTTATAAATAGGCTAGAGACAGGCACTTCTGGTGGCTGCAGTCCAGATGGTTCTGAGCCTGAGTCAGAAACAAGGCTGAATTGGGTTTCCCAGCATCCTTGCCCTGGACAGTAATAGATGTTTCTTTGATAAGAGAAGCTAATAGTAAGCAAAAGCACAGACATGCAAGGTGGAAGCCAGGCTCCTTCAGTCAGGCTCAGAATGTGCAGTGACTCGGGGGGGGCGGGGGGGGGGCGGGGGGCAGGTCTCTGGCACCAGGGGAGGATGCCAGAGTTTCTTAGTGGCCTCCACCTTGGGAAAGTTGGAGAGGAGGCCGAGTTTCCCTTTCTCTGCACTCAGTTACAGCTTCTCCCACCATGGCAATCAGTTCTACTGGTTTTCTTCCTGGCCTTTCTAAGGATTGTTGGAGTCTCTCTAACCCTGGGATTACCTTAAATCATCTCGGCATGTAGGGTGCCCCTTGGATTGAACAAAAAAACAAATCTGATTTTCATGTGCCTGATCTTGACAAATGGTCTTGTGTGTTTTTAGGCTAAAAGATGGTGAATTGTGGAATAAATTCTTTGTGCGGATTCTAAATGCCCGTGAGGAGCCCACGGTGTCTGTTCTGAGGGAACTTGCCACAGAAATGGCCAAGGTTTTTGACACCACCTTCCAGAGCCACCTGAACAAAGCCTTATGGAAAGTGGGGAAGTTAGTTGGTCCAGGGGCTCTGCTATGTCCGCCACATAGGCCGTCAAGTCTCTCGCAGCTCCCTGCCTAAAGCCAGGGCTTGTGTTGGGGAACACTGGATCTGTACATATCCACCATGTAGTTTGATTTAGGACACATATGTACACTACCAATGCTTTTCTACCTTTGGGTCGGGCTGTGTTTCTACATGACAGGTGTTTTCTACACAGCAGTGCCTGTACCCACAGCCTTATCTAATTTTAGCAAAAAACTGTTTTATTGTAAATGGAGCATAAACAAATGGGTATGTTGTTGTCTTTTCACCCATTTGTGTCTACTTTCCTCTTTTGTAATTTGTAACATGTACTCATGATCCCCATATATTTTGTAAATAAAATAGTGTTTGTTAAATTTGTGCTTCTAACACTTCATCTACTTTTTGCCAAGTAAGATGGCAAATGGCTGAGTTTGACTAAGAAGAGCTGTGTTATCCTGGAAATGTCCACATCTTAGATTTGAGTCCATTGGAATGGGACTTTGATGAGAAAGAACAGCCATGGGCTTCCTTGGTGGGCTCCTGATCAAGACTGAAAAGTAGGTGGGTTATGCACAAGACCAACTTTTCCGTAATTTTCATGTGGCAAAACTGTACGTGTGCCTGATTTTTTTGTTTTCACTCTGTTTATCACTGCTACTGCTCTAAAATTGCTGGGAAGAGAAAATCCGAAGCACACCTCAGCTAAAAACATTGAAGTGTACTAAGTGTAGTTGAAGCACTCCAATATGACTTAGGAACATCTGCTGCTGTCTAGGGCACCGCCCTCTGGTTAGCCACTCTGGTGAGCATGAGAACCAGGCATGGCTAGACAGAGAATGGCACCCACCAGCACATGTATGGGCTGGATAGTGGGGCTGGTTGGGTTGAACTAGGCTTCAATGCCCATTGACATGCTTGAGAGCTGAATGGGATTGGGATAGACTGGACCAGTCTGCTCTACATACTGGCAAGCAGGGGAACCAGGGCAAAGGGCAGGCCTGTTGTGGGTTATTGGGGATTGCCCCAACTAGGCTGCAGCTCCCACTGGTGTGCGTGAGGGCCAAGTGTGTGGTGGGCAAAATAGGGCTGGGCTGCAACATCCTTTGATTTGTGTAGAAGACAGGGCTGGAGAATGAACTGACCCAGCAAGTACAACCACCAGCAGGTGCATAAGCTGCTTGGAATGATGGTCTGTGCTGAACCCTGTATTGACAAGCACACAAGAATCTGATCTGGGATCACACCTCAGATGAAATTTCTTTGGGGATTCCCCCAACTGAATTGCTGGACTCAAAACCCCAACCATGGAGAGAATTACAGGTTCTATGGTCTGACTGTGGAGTGCAAGTATCAGAGCTGGGCCTCTTCAGTGGTTCAGATGGAGCAATGGGCCATATATCCAGGAGCACATGGAGGATATGGCAGTACATTGGAGCCTGCAGAGGTCACCTGGTACCATAACAGAAAACAGAACAAATTGATCAATTGCCCTAGCCAAGTGTTGGCAATGAATACCTGGGCAAACGGAGACTCTTAAGGTGGATTTTGTCAGCCAGTGGATTCTGGAGAAATTTTATTGTACTTGGAGTGGTGAGATCGGCAGCAATTCAGAACTGTTGAACTATTAAAACCAATTGAGCAGGAACCTCAGAGCATGCCCCTCGTGGGTGGCTTCATCTCAAGGCACAGAGGCAGTTGGGAGGCTGGGTGTAACGTCTTACCTTTTCTCCTCCCTTCCCTCAGATACAGGAAGGAAAAAAAGAATGTGGAAATAATGGTCCTGTGCCACAGCTGGCTTCTAGTCTAGTTCCTAAAATTAAGACTTTCCTGGCGCATCTCAAGTAATTTTTAATACAGCAAGCTTCAGCCTCAGTAGGGTCCTTGGTTCCCTGCAAGGCATAAAAAGCTACAAATATTGAATAGGAAAAAGATGGCATTTTCAGTCGGCATGGAAAAAGGTGGATTGTTCAATAATTCATGTTGAAACAATGGATTAGACCTTGAACTCCAGAAATAGTGCCACTACTAGTCCATAAAGCAGCTTTGTGCAAATTTCACAAACACTCCCCTAGATTTTCCGAATCCCAGTGCACCATTGCTTGACTGACTTTCAGTCCCCCTTGACCCTCAGCCTGAAGCCTGGTGTGGCAAAGAAACAGCATGGCCACCTGCAGTGACCCTGTATGTGTCACAGCTTGGCCCCGTCAGTTTGGGGTTTTTGCAGGGCAGGTGTCTGGTGCAATGATTCCACGTCCTCTGGGGCTGCCTGCATCCCATATCAGAGTGTCTGGCTTTGAGTTATGGCTTGGCTTCTGGCTCCAGTTTACAGAGCACAGGGAGGTAGCAAGTGAAGGCCCAAGTTGTTGGGTCCCTGCCACCCACATGGGATATCTGGATTGGTTTCCAGTCTCCTGGCTTCAATCTGGCTCAACCCTGGCTGTGAAGGATCTTGCCCCTCGTCTCTCTCTCTTTCCTTCCACAGCACCTCCTCTCAACACACACACACACACACACACACGGAGGGGAAGGGTTAGAGAATGATCAGCCTTATAGTGCAGCAGGTCACACTGCTGTCTGTGGTGCCAGCATCCCATATCTGCACAGTTTGAGTCCCAGCTGCTCCACTTCTGATCCAGCCCCCTGCTAACGTGCATGAGAAAGCAGCAGGTGGTGGCTCAAGCACTTGGACCCTGACAGCCCGTGTGTGAAACTGGATAGAGTTTCTGACTTCTGCCTGGCCTAGTCCCAGCTGTTACAGGAATTGGGGGTGGGATCGGGTATTAACCGCAGATGAAAGATGTCTGTCTGTCTATCTCTGAAACTTTTTAAAGGATTTTTACTTTTGATAGCCTAGGTTAAGATATCCCTGCTTATATTATTTACATCTTATCCTTCTATTATAAAAACAAAAATGTTAGTTTTTTTTTTCTTTTTACTGGGAAATTTGGGATGCCTTATCATCCAAATATAAAAGTGAGATTGATTTGGAACCTAAATGAGAGTGTAAAATAGATTTAATTAAATCATTGGAGTTATGTATGTAAATGTCTATTTTTAACACATTGAAAATTCATTCATGTTTGAGTGTTCTGTAATGCTCTGAAATATGCTTTCTAAAATTACCATCTTCCTCCTATTACACTTGCCTATGTCTTAATTATCAACAAGGTATTGAAGTACATAAAACTCAGACTTTTCAAAGCAGAATGTGTTTTAGGACTTTCATTTAAAAACTTGAGCTTCGGTCTCTCTCCCTCCCCCTTTTGAGAGATACCCCACCTCCTGGCTTTCTCTCAGCAGGCGCTCTCCTCTTTCCTGCTCACCTGGTCCCTTCACAAATAAACTTTTCTATCTGCAACAGAAAAACAAAAACAAAGCAAACTTGAGCTTCCACACATTGATGTATAATTCAGAAAGGAACAATATGAACTCATACTAAGTTTGTTTTTTGTGTTTGTTTTTGTTTTTTGTTTTTCTGTATTTGCAGAGACAGAGAGACAGGAGGAGGTCTTGCCTTCACTGGTTTACTATCCAAATGGTCACAACAGCCAGAGCTGGGCCAGGCCAGAACTCAGGAGCTGCTTCTGGGTCTCCCATGTGGGTGCGGGGACCTAGATACTTGGGCCATCTTCTGCTGCTTTCCCATGTGCATTAGCAAGGAGCTGGATTAGAAGTGAAGTATCCTTTGTTCAAACTGACACCCATTTGGGATGCCAGAGCCGCAGGGAGCAGTTAAACCTGCTATGTCAAGCTGAGTTTTTCTCAGCGTGTACTGTTCTTCTCCACCAAAACACACTACTTCCAACGATCTTGCTTCTGGGAGGCTCACAGGGCCAACTTGGACTGCTGAGTAATATCCCGTAAGTTCACATGGACTGCTCATAGGGAACAGTGGCAGCCCCCAGTCAAGCTGCTGCCTTTGAAGCAACTGTACCTGTTAATTTTATATACTTCCAAAGAGCCCTGTGAGCTATTAAAAAAAAAGTCATTGTATTGGGAACTTCCACTGAGCTGTTTCCTCCTTTCATATTAAATGTTCTTTCCACAGGTAAATTTTATCAAAATGTGTACTTGAACAGTTATGTGGATCAGCCTAGGTTGCACTTTCAAAGTAGTTTAATTTTACTGGCCTAGTCATGTGGTGCATTTTATTTATTTAGCTACTTCAGTCTTGAAATCAGCAAAGTGAGGATGGCATTACATAAGAACAAATAGCAATAAAGATGTGTAGACAGATAGATGTAAGCTTATGTGACGTTGGCTCATTCAGGGCATGTTAGCCCAGGGCGAGTGAGATTGTGGTGCAGTGAGTTGAGGAGGCACAGCCAGGCTGGCAGAGAAACGAGTGAGCCAGAGCAAACAAAAGGTGCAGTATTGCCAAGGGGGGGACCTTCCATATCAGATAAACTGCACCACCAAAAAGGTAAACCGGGACAGGAGCACCCAGTGTCCTACCTACAGGCCAGTGGTTGATAGTCCGAGGTGTAAACCCCTGAGGGCAGCTTCAGAACTTGGGCCACATGATTAGTTGCTTTGAATTTGTACGTCTGTACATATGTGCCTTTGCTCTCCAGCCCAGGTGAGTTCCTTGTGGGCGAGTTCTCTGTTTTTAAGATTTTATTTTTATTAGGTAGAGTCTAACTGTAGACGTCCCGTTTCCCCACTGAGGGTCACAGCATTGAGTCCTCCCTGAGACTGTCCCTACTAGCACTTTGGCTCGGGACGCTCTTTCTGGCTGGTGTTTCATCACCTGAGCCAATGATGTAAAAGGCCCAGGAGGGGAAAGGCAAAGGGAAATGCAGGGGGTTCTAAGAACTCAATTCTGACACTCTTGCTTTCCCATCCACCAACTAGAGCCATGGCTCCTCCCCATAGGGTGGTTGTGAGAATTCACGCTGATGGATGTCAGAGCCCCTTGGCTCAGCGCTAGCAAGCGGCCAGCCCAGAGCGAGCCATGTAGGAGGCTGCGGGAGCTAGTGTGAACCACTTTTGGATCTGAGCCACTGCCGAGAGGTCTGGCATTCTCCCTCACTCCAGGCCCCCAGCTGCCATCAGCCAACTCGTCTTTGTGTTGAAACATGTTCATTGATCCCCTCCAGGGCAGCCAATAACATGTTGGAATGTGGCGAAAAGAGATTAGCGGCAAGTAGATAGCAGGCTCCACTGAGGGCCGCAGGCTGATGACAGGCTATGAAGAAATGCAAAGCATGCTCACTCCCTTCAGTGAGCTAGTAATTTGGTTAGAGAAACAGGATGTAACAGCTGAAGAGCCAAGACAGGACAGGAAGTAAGCCAATCCAAATCCTATCTGCAGGGAAGCCATGTGCCAGATCCAGAGGTGTGGATGGAGCAGGTGATACACGTGTGGGTGCTC